TCAGGTCCACCTCTTTGACATCCAGCATCAAGAAAGGCAGGACGAACTCCTTTAGCACTTCCTCTGGCTCAAGAAGAGCAGCAACAGGGATACCCTGGGGCTTCACAGGGGTCATCAGGCAGCCCAGGAGCTCCAAAAATTGCTTTTCCTCCTTGGGTGTAGAGAACTTTGCCCAGATGGTTTCTTTGAGGCACGACACCACAAAACTGGTGGAGAGATCTGGACCCTGCTCTTCCATGAACTTAAGGGCAGGGAAGGCAGTGAGAATCTGAGCCAGGAACTTGTGAGTGCCCAGATTGACCACAGCCATGCTGCACATCTTCTTCACCGTGATCTCTGGGTGCAGAATTATCAGGCGGGCCACAGAAGCTACAGCTTTGGCTAAGCCCTGTTCAGAGGCACTCTGTGCGAGCTGGTTAAAAGTTGTATTGAGGTCTTCCTGAAACCCGTCCAAGGAAGCCAACTTCTCAGACAGACCCTTTCGCCCCCAGGAAAGCAGGGTGCCCGACAGGACTTTATTTTTATCTGGCAGTGAGAGGTCTGCATAGCATTCCAGGACCAAGCTGATCACTTGTTTGATCTGAGACTCAGGGATGGCTCTGTCGGACACGGTGACTTCCATCACCGTTTCCAGCAGCTTTAACACCAAGTCTGGCTCTTGGAAGAGAGCCCGGTTATTTACCAGGCAGGCTAGCCACTCGTCTGAGAAGGCCCACTTCTTCTCAGAGGCAAAAATGTAGCACATTTCCATGTGCCGGTCCATCTTTTGCTCGATAATGGCCATGGCAATTGAGGCAGTGATGTCCTTCTCGAAGCCCTTGTTCTTCAGCACCCTGTTTGTTTTCTTCAGGAAGTCCCCGACACACTCTGCCAGCTCGGAGATCACCTGCCTCTCCTCCTTGGACAAGCTGGTGGAATCCAGGTAGAGCTTCAAGTTCTGGCTGAAGGAAGCCAGACTGTCACACAGCCGGTAGCTGTCATAACTTATCCCCTGGCTGCTGTTGAGCACGGTCTGCAGCTCCTCCCCCCACTCCCGCAGCAGGCTGCACATGAACTCCAGCCCGACGAAAATCGTCTCGCTTGGGAGCTTGGCCAGGGAGTTCAGGCTGATGTCCCGTTCTGCCTCCTTTACCTTCTCTGCCAGTGCCTGCTGGTGAAATGGGTTCTGCGTGTCGGAATTCCACACGGAGATCACCGCGGCCAGCTTGTCCAGGTACACAGCTGCAGACACTTCCTGGGGGTCGTCCTCCATCAGGGCAAACACCGTCAGCATGTCAGCCAAGTTGGCCAGCGCGCAGCACTTCATCCCGGGGCACAGGATTCGATTCTGGATTTGTTTCAGCCCGGTGAGCAGCATGGCCAACAGGGGCATAGTAGGACACACCTCTGGGTCTGACTTAAACCTCTTTGGAGGATGGGAGAATTCATCTGAAGAGGACAAGTACTTATGGGCCATCGTTCTAAACTGGGAGAGCAGGGGATCCTGCTGATTGCCTTTGTGCTTTATCATTTCCCACCAGACACTGAGGAAAAAGGCCACATCCTTTGAAGAAGTGTCAACAGACATGTGCTCCAAAAAGCGCTCTAGTTCTGCACGGCAGATAGTGGTGGGCAGGGCCATCAGGAGCTGGATAAAGAGTCCAGAAGCTTCCAGAGACTTGAGCAGCTCAAAAAGCACCGTGTGATTGATGGTAGGGATCATGTTGCCTACCGAGAAGAACACATCTTCCTGCCACCGAGTGTCAGTGTCGGAAGGGGTGACAGGGTAGGGCTGAAGCACCTTGGCCCAGATGATGATCAGAGCCTTCTTCTTCCAGGCAAAGGGCTGGGAGCACGCTGCGGTGGAGGAGATCTCCCTGAGGGCCTCCACGATGGGCCGCCCAACGTGCTCCCAGTCCGACTTTGTCAATTCTGCCAGCGCTTTGGGGTGGAACAGCTGCTCAGCGAGCAAGAAGCCTCCGTGCAGAATAGTCATTTCTTCGCAGATATTCAAGGGTCCTGCACCGAGAGAAGCCGAATAAGACAGAGCGTGGTGAAAACATATTTAAGATAATTAGAAGTTAGAGGCAGAGAGACATCAGACACTATAGGCTGGCTGTCATCATCAGGGTTAGACATGAGAAGGGTTCAGTGAGACGGGGAAGAAGGGATGGTTCTAAGAGCTGCTGCAGAGCTGGGGTCACGAGGACGTGCCTGCGCAATACAAAAGGACTCCCAGGCTCTCCAGCCTGGATTGGGAAGACAATGGGCATCACAGGAGGAACACAGGAGAATCAGAACAGCTTTGGGGGGAACACTGTTCAGTTTGGGTTATTTGGAGTTTGAGGTAGAATATTAAGGTAGATACATCCTCCAGCAATAGGAAGGTGGGGTGGACGCTGAGGAGAGTCCATCCTGAAAAGTGGCTCAGGGAAGTATCTGCCCAGAGGGGATCAATGGAATGAACAAAGTGAATGAGATCCTGCATGTGAAAAGGGAAGGGCTAGGCCCTCCAGCACAGGAAGGGCTGGCGGAGGGTGTACAGAGGAAAGGCAGAGAGAGAGAGAGAGAGAGAGAGAGAGAGAGAGACAGCGCGCGCGCACAACAGTACCAAACTGCAGGGGCCATCAAATGAGTACTGTGGAACATGACAATCAAGCCTCTAAGTAATGATATACCTTAAGAGGGGCACAGGGCAGGGGTGTGGGCAGAGAAGCAATCAGATGAGCCCTGCCTTCCCTCTATTCTCTTACAGCCTGCTTGCAAACAAATTTCAAATGTTCTGCCATTCAAGGAAACAGTTTACCCGATAGCTATTTCTGTCAAACCAGAACAAGCAACTGAAGGCTCTGGTTCTCTGATAGAAACCGAGAGGCAGACACACAAAGAAATTCTAGATTAAGAAAGAAGTCTTTCCTCCAGTGAGCCATGGTTCAACAGACTTCTCAAGGAAGGCATTTGGGGATGTTTAATTAGACAGTGCTTTAAATCCTAGCTCAATCATTGAAAAGCAGTGTGATATCTTAGATTCCTTCTCTGAGCTTCCCTTCGGCATATGTGGGGGGAAAATAGAGGCTTCCTATCAGGACTCTGAGGATCAAGCGATAGTATCAGTCAAGCCCTTGGCAGAGTCAGTTGCTGTTAGCTCCCAATTCCATCTCCCAGAGCTGCTGACTGTTAAATAAGATACAGCTACAGTAAGCATCTGGCTACAAAGAGTGCCAAATAAGTGCTCACTAAATGTTGATTCCCACAAATCTTTCCATTGTTGGCAGGACCATCACCTTGTCACTATTCTTTGCCTTTCCCAGCTCAAGAACAGGAAAGGACATAGGTCTTCCTCAAGTTAGCTACTTCTGGCCCAGAAAAAAAATCAGAGTACAAACACTACTCACTATTCCGGACTTCTCTCCCCTTTCCCAGGGCATGGAGATGCCACCCCTTCCTCATTCCCTCATGCCTCCAAGGACCCGTCTTTCCCATTTACACAGGCCAGGAGCCAGCAAGAGAGAACCTTGATTCAGGAGATTACAAAACGTCCTGCCCTTCAAGGGAGCAGCTAAAGGCAAAGCATCAGCACTCCATGCGCAACCACTGGTGAAAGCAATTCACCTTGACTCCCAGTGGCCCAGGCACACACCCAGGGAAGATTAGATTGCCTGAGGGGGTCTCACTGGGGATTCTGCCCTCCCGCTTTTTGGCTCAGGTTGCTCTCCTAGGACTCCAAAACATGTCCCCTTTCAATCTGTAAATTTGATTTGATTGCACAATCAGCTCAGCCGAAATGTTTGGCCCCCAAAACCCACCTTCCAGAGATAGGAAGTATGTTCACTGTGCTACCTGAAGGAGTAAGTAACCAGCTGGACAAATCCTAAGTATTTTTATCACTCCTGGTTAACTGGTGCTTATGGTTAAGTGTTTACTCCGTGCCAGGGACTGTGCAAGATCTTTATGCATCTTCAAATCAACCTTTTGAGGGCCATTCCTGCTTTGGAGATGGGAACACAGATTCAAGAAGTTTGCTCAGGATGTCCCAACTACTGTGTGATGGGGCTGGGACAGAAATCACCAGCGCTGCGGGGCTCCAAACTCCGTTCCACCACTGAAGAGCTAACTGGGGACAGGACCATGTTTCTACGGCACATCTTGGGGTGCCTCACCCCAGCTCTCTCAGAACAGCCTCCTGGTCTTACCTCCTTAAGAGCATGTCCAGCAGGGTAGGAGGCTGGACAAGGAGCTACCGATTTATATGAGCTCCCCGCTCCCTTCCCGCGGACCCTGCGGGTGAGGATTCGGAATCAAAGTGCACAGAAGTTCAAAAGTGCCACCTCGGCTGCTGCGGCCCTCCTCACAGCTCCTGGTCGCACGAACGTTAGCTATGCACAAGGCACCGTACCAGACACTGTATACACGTGTTCTCAATCCAAACGCCCCCAAACTGTGTGGTGGATACATTAGGATCGTCCCCGTTTTATCGACGAGAACCACAAGAGCGTAAGACGCTTGCTCAACAACTCGGCAGCCGTTGAATAAATGACACGTCGGGGTATCAGGGATTCCCCGGGGCGTCTTCTGAGCCCGGCATTTTCCAAAGCACGTGCACGAACCTTGTCCACCTTCAGGAAAATCTAACTTCACATCCGCTTGGCCCTTCACGTGGAAAGGCGTCCAGAGGGCGCAAGATGCCGGCCAAAGAGCTGCGGGGCTGGCGTTAGAGCCCCGCCTCCCGACCCCCGGCCTCCAAAACCCTCCCCTACCCGGAGGTCTCCCTTAGCCCGGGCCCACTCAGCACCGCCCTGATCGCCTGTTTCGGGACGCAGACCAGGAAGGCCGAGGACAGGCAGTCGAGACACCCACCTAGGTCCATGGCGGCGACGCGAGCGGCCGTGAGGCCGCCCCTCTCCCGCGAGGCTGCGAGTGCAGCGCAGGCGCCACGGCACAATGGGCAGTTCCGGAGGGCGGGACAATGGGCCGCGCGCCCCAGCCCCCGCCCACAATCTCAGCCCCGGCTCCGCGCGGTCGGTCGCAGGCCTCCCGCCGCTCCACGCGCACGCGCGGTACTCACCAACAGGTCCGCGGCGCCCTGGCAGCCCGGCCCACATCGCCCCCTACCGGCCCGAGGCCTCCAACCAGCCAACAGGCAAGTACTCGCACTTCGTTTCCGCCGAGTGTGCCCCGCCCCGCCCCCAAACGTCCGCCACGTCACTGGCCCTTGGGCTCTATGTACAGCCTTCTTTGGCGGCGCCGCTCTGCAGCGCGTGTGCCCCGCCCCTTCACAGCCCAGCCTTCTGAGTCCCAGGGGCTCCTACCCACTAGTTCCATCCCGGGGTCGGCTTTCGCTCCCATCCAGTAACCCCCAGGAATACCCACACTGAACGCCCTCCCCCGGCTGCCCAGTAACCAGCACAGGTGTGCCACTCTGAGAGGCGTTTCCCCCTCCAGGGGGTCTGCGGGTCTCACTCAAGACCATCTGCCCCCCAGACGCACAATCCGTCCGTCCCCCCCGCCCCCCCGCAGCTCCTCCTCATCATAGCAGCACAGCATCCTTAATTTCCTAGCATCATAGACGCCTTTGAAATGCTACTGGTTGCCCTCCCCAGAAAATGCACTTTGCCAGCCAGAGCAATGGTGGGGGAGATCCAATCCAATGGGCCTCAGTTTGCAATGTGTACTTTAGAAAAACACATTTGACTTCTGAGAAGACACACACGTGGATATCCTACGTTCTGAAACATTACCCGGGCTCCTTTGCTCCCTTTCACTCTTAGGAGACCTAATCACTAGCCTCCAGTGTTTCTAACTCTCCATCCTCCATCCTTCAGTGCCAATTTTCACCTAGAAAAGACACGGCGGCCCGGCCTCCGTTCCCCCAATGTCCCAAGTGGAATTTGAGATGGCCTGTGCTGCTATCAAGCAGTTGAAGGGACCTGTGAGTGATAAGGAGAAACTGCTGGTGTACAGCTTCTACAAGCAGGCCACCCAGGGCGACTGCAACATCCCTGTCCCACCTGCCACAGATGTGAAAGCCAAGGCCAAGTGGGAGGCATGGAATGACAACAAAGGGATGTCCAAGATTGATGCCATGAGGATCTATGTTGCCAAAGTGGAAGAACTGAAGAAAAAGGATACTGGTTAAGGAGGGCAGAGTGTCAAACAGAATGAAGTAGCAAGGCTCCTCGGATAGGGAAAAGGGCTTCTTAAAAGTCTGATGGCTGAAATGTCATGACGCCATAACAGCTGTAGCCAAGAGACCTCAATAAATCACTTAAACTGCACGAGAGTGACTGCTGTTTGCGGAAAGCTGATTACACTCAGAGTGACTGGGAGAGTCCTGGGGAGGTGTCCAAAGTATATAAAAACCAGCTCTCCACTAGGATAAGTTCCATCAAAACTGGCTTTGTGTAGGATTTGGAGAGCACCCAGCCTTCTATTCCCAGAGTATATGTAGATATTTGGCAGGAGTAGTGGGGTTGGGGGAAGAATCATGCTATGAAAATTGCCCAAGATTTGAGGTTAGTCAATAAGACCATTCTCCAGAGGCTCGGCCTCTCAGGAGAAAGAAGGAAGGAGGCTGAGGCCCCTATCTCTTCAGGGGAGATTCATTGTTAACCCAACACTACTGAGGGGAAAGGGTCTTTGCCTTCGAAAAAGCTGAAGTCAAGTCCTACTACCCAAAGCCCCACTGAACATAGACCTGATGAAGTTAATACTTTGAGGGGAGTCAAACTTTTAGCGAAGTAACTGATGCATGACAACACAGCAGATGCGAGACACTGGAGCAGATGGTTTCAAAATCCCAGCGTCTGAATGCAACCAAAATTTCCTTGGGGTTAGTCTGCAGTTAACCCTGGTTTCTGCTTGGGGATGTCTGTAGGACAAGATATGTACATGTAAATGAGTTTGTGTAGTTATTTGCTTATTTTTGAGAGAAAGTGCGTGTAAGCATGAGCGGGGGAGGGGCAAAGGGAGGGAGACAGAGGATCCCAAGCGGGCTCTGGGCTGACAGCCCGGTGGGGGGCTCAAACTCAAGAACTGGGTAGATCATGACCTGAGCCGAAATTGGACACTCAACTGACTAAGCTGCCCAGGCACCCCCGACTTTGTTTTAGAAGGACCACCCACCCCGTGCCCCATGCAAGTGTTGATGATCGCGGCGACATTGATGCACAAAAAGTGTAGAGGGATATGGAGTGCTAAATGGTATCACATTTCAGAGAAAAAGCTCTGCTGTGGCATGGAACTTCCCAAAACTTTTCCTCAAAAATTATTTCACAGGCCAGGGCATCAGGTCAGCTCCAGTTCATGAAGGACCCTTAAACAATAGAAGCAACGATCATAAAAACATCAGAGGACAAAGGGAACCAAATCTCACCAGACAGTTTCAGGATCTTCTGTTCACGTATGTGCAGTAAGTTGCTGTAGACTAAGTAGACATATTACTTGAGGAGAGAGTGTCCCCAGAACACCAGTGGTGTCTGTGACTAAAGAACTATTGTAACTATAAACTGAGCAAGAGCCACGCTGTACAATGGAGTTGTACCATCCTCTCTTCTTTGGAGGATATTATAAGCACATTTTGATGCATTTCGGACCCTGATTCACATTAAATGTGAATTACTAGTAAAAATAATAGTGGAAGGGCACCTGGGTGGCTCAGTCAGCCATTCAACTTTGGCTCAGGTCATGATCTCAGGGCTCGTGGGTTCAAGTACTGCATCAGGTTCTGTGCTGACAGCTCAGAGCCTGGAGCCTGCTTTGGATTCTGTGTCTCCCTCTCTGCTCTTTCCTAACTCACTCTTTCTCTCTCTCTAAAAAATAAATATTATCTCAGTGAACATTAAAACAAATTTTATTTAAAAAAAAATTTTTTTTATGTTTTATTTATTTCTGAGAGAGAGAGACAGCACGAGCAGGGGAGGGTCAGAGAGAGAGGAAGATAGAGTCCAAAACAGGCTTCAGGCTCTGAGCCAGCTGTCAGCACAGAGCCCGACGCGGGGCTCGAACCCATGAACCGTGCGATCATGACCTGAGCCGAAGTCAGATGCTCAACTGACTGAGCCACCAGGCGCCCCAAAACAAATTTTAAACTTAATATGACAGAAGTCCACAATCCCTCAAAGCCAAGAAAACAAAATGACTGCTCTGAAAACACAACCGTGAAGAAGTTCAAGAACTTTCCAACTTCATCTGTTTTAAAACACCAGCTTGGGCAAAACCATCTTTCTTATTTTTTTTAAGAAAAAAATTTTTTAAAGTTTCATTTATTTTGAGAGAGAGAGCACAAGCAGAGGAGGGGCAGAGAGAGAGGGAGAGAGAATCCCAAGCAGACTCTGCACTACCACTGCAGAGCCAGACATGAGGTTCAAACAAATGAACCATGAGATCATGACCTGAGCCAAAACCAACAGTCGGACACTCAACCAACTGAGCCACCCAGGTGCCCCCAGAGCCATCTTTCTTATTTTTTTTTAATTTTTTTTTTAAACTTTTTTTAAAATATTTTTTTTATTTATTTCTATGAGAGAGAGAGAGAGAGACAGCGTGAGCAGGGGAGGGTCAGAGAGAGAGGGAGACACAGACTCTGAAACAGGCTCCAGGCTCTGAGCTGGCAGTCAGCACAGAGCCTGATGCGGGGCTCGAACCCACGAGCCGCGAGATCATGACCTAAGCGAAAGTCGGACGCTTAACCGACTAAGCCACCCAGGCGCCCCCAGAGCCATCTTTCTTATAACTTTGTTTTCTCATGGAGCATACCATCATCAGAAGCGGGAAAGTGATCCTACCTGGGGTTTAAAATCACTAGCTACACCGGGCAGAGGTAAAACTTATGGATTCCTTGATAAAAGGCCAAAGTTGTACACTAAATGGTTTTACAATGAACGCAGTAGTAAAGACTTCGGCGAAAGAAAAATGACTGGCAGTGAGATAAAAGGGGCTTATATTGTAAAGTCAAAATGTCCCAGGTAGATAAACAGCATTAACTTCTCTCATGCATAGTGGTAATTTAAGAGAGGAAAAATTCTGGTATGTTAAAATTGAATAAAATTGAAGTAGATAAAAAAGAAATCTAGTATGTGTTTAGTCATTCAGTTCTTACATAAATCCATTTATTTTACTATGACAAACTCAGAAGGCCTACGTCGGTAGCCTGATACACTGGGAAAAGCATAGTTTTTTGGTACAATAACAGTTATTACCAGAGATAGACATCAAGAATTACTATGCTAACCAGAAATCTGAGAATGAACAAATCTTAGTCTAAAGAGACACAGAGTAGTCTAGTTATTCAAAATCTACACAGTAATCTCCCCATGTACATGAAATAGGTGAACCAACTGTCTAGGGAAGGAACATCTATAACCTGGTTTGCTTTGAAACCCTTGATTGGTTCCCTCAGATGGGGAATTTAAGTTGAATGAAAAATGCCGTGGAGAGGGAAAAGCGCTGCTTTCTGTCAGTGAAGGTAAGCCCACCCTGTAAGATGACCTGAAACCCTGAAATCTGCCAGCCAGGAAGAATAACTGAGGGAATTTCATATATATTATTCTGGAACTGGTGACCTCTGAGTCAGTCTTTTCAATCTCCTCAGTGTCTTCCCTATAATTAGAACCTGGCCACAACTATTTTAAATAATGAGTCTTACAGTCTGGTGTAAAAACTTGAGTTCAGGAGTATAGTTCCAAAACCCATTTAATAATAAATATGGCCAGTAAAATTCCGTTTCCAATGATTAGAATTTATTTGTTCTGTAGAACCAAATAGAAAACCATAAGAAAGTGTTAAAAAAATTTTTTTTCAGGCTGAAGAAATATTCGAATCCATATTTCAGAAATTAAAATTCTCGTGAGGATTTAAGAAAATTATATAAAGAAAGTGGACTAAAGCCAGGCATGTAGCAGCACAACACATGAGATTCTTCCATCTGTTTTCTCTGGATATTCAAAATTTTAAAGCAAGGAATGTGTGGGCGGTAATCAAATCTGTTGATTCAATGAACCAAATGTCTTTTTTTTTTTTTAATTTATTTTTTAATGTTTTATTTATTTCTAGGAGAGAGAGAGATAGTGTGAGCAGGGGAGGGTCAGAGAGAGAGGGAGTCACAGACTGAAACAGGCTCCAGGCTCTGAGCTGGCAGTCAGCACAGAGCCCAATGCGGGGCCCGAACCCACGAACCGCGAGATCATGACCTAAGCGAAAGTCGGACGCTTAACCGACTAAGCCACCCAGGTGCCCCGAACCAAATGTCTTTAAAATGTTTCACTGTCAAGGCCTGCCAGGGGAGGGCGTTAGAAGAGCATGTAATCATGGGGCTGGAAGTATTCCTGCCATAAGCTTATCAAAAATTCCCTCCATTTCCAACCAAAGGTGATGGCCCACATAGCTGCCCAGGCTGAAAAATAATTACCGATCTACTAGAGCTCCAGGTAGAATGTGCCATTCCAATGCCAGTGCAGCTTACAGCACGAGTTCTCCTCTAATGGGACTGATTACAGTAAGATTTTATTTCTACAATATATCTTGGGGGCTTTCAAAGATTAGAACACACAGATCTCTACCACTCTAGCCTCCTTCCCTGTATGGGAAACAACCGAGTCGTGAGAGCATTTATCAGGCATGGACACACCAGGCCTCGCAGGTGCTGGACAGGAATCACAAATGCCCGTTCCACAGATGTTTTCTGTTAACCGGAAGCCTTTGGTTTATTTTGCTTAGCAAACCATTCCTCACTTTTATCTGCCGCCATTGCCTATAGAAAGAGAATTGGAACATATGGTTAAGTCTATAAAACAAAACATACAGTCCACTTTGTACCTCTCACTGCACTGCCCACAGTCATGAACAATTAAGACACAATGTGTTTGTTCGGTATAGAGTATTATGTTTCATTTCACCGGATGCGGATGAGTATCGAGCAACAGAGTCTCACGTGGCAGAGTCAAGGGTGAACCGTGCAGCGGGGGAGCGTGGCTGGCCAGCCGATTCATCAGAGAGCAAGGAGCAAGCACACTAGGCTGCAGGGTCCTTGGAAGAACAGAAGGGGCTGTCACTCTTCGCATCTGGGTAGGTTCTCAAGAATCTGTTAGTGCTAATGAGACTCGGTGTTATGAGACCCGATATGAAAAGCAATTTTCATGTTTTAGCTATTAAGCCTGGAATGGTTTGCTTTTACTATGCCTCCTCCAATACCATTCCACTGATGTTGATACTGTTTGGTTAATTTGGGGCCTCTTAATTAAAAAGAAAGCCTTGTGAATATATTTTGGTGCCACTAGAGTGTTTTTATCTTACTATTCCACGAGGTTGAGACCATGGAGAAGGGCTTACAGAGTGGTCTACACTTAGAACCTAAGTCTGTTAAAACTTCCTGTCCAGTGGTGCGTGGGTGGCTCAGTCTGTTAAGTGTCCAACTTCAGCTCAGGTCATGATCTCACAGTTCATGAGGTTGAGCCCCGCGTCGGGCTCTGGGCTGACAGCTCAGAGCCTAGAGCCTGGAGCCTGCTTCAGATTCTGTGTCTCCCTCTCTGTCTCCTCGTCCCCTGCTTGCTGTGTCTCTCAAAAACTAAAAAAATTAAAAAGAAAAAACACAAAAAACCCTTCCTGTAATACAAACATGCATATGCTAAATGGGTGTTTGGTAAGGATACACATTAATTTATCCAGTCAAAATCAAGTATAGAAATACCTTTAAAAATGCTAGTTTTCATTCTGAGCTAGGTATGATGTTGGGTTCAGGTGTGGTGGCAGAGACCTGGTCTGAGGCTTTGAGGAGCACAGAGAATAGCGGAGGGCTCAGATGGAGACAACTCTTTTGCATGAGGGCGCACGCATGGGTGTCTCCTAGGGCATTTGCTATGACAGAAGCACGAACAAGGTGCTAGGAGACCAAAAGAAAACAACTAAGTGGTTGGAAAAATGGTATAAAAAGACTCGTCTACCTCAGCAGGAAGTGCAAAGATGGTGTCTGCCACTGAAAATGAAGAAACAGAAGTACGCAAATTTTTTTAGAAACCTCAAAGGTGAAAGTGGCTGTCCTGGGCGGTGGGACTCCGAGATGGGACAAGACACGGTCGCACTGACTTAGAGGGTATCTTAGTGCTGCGACTGTCTTGATGAACACAGAAAGGTTTTCGAAAATCAAGATGTGCAAAATAAGAGAAAACTGACAAAGGTGCAGACGTTTCTGTCTCGTCAGAGACATAATAAATGGGGGAAACGACAAACTCTGGTGTGGAGAATCCAAGACAGCTTGTGGGTTCTGAGGGAGGAGTTGAAGAAGGAAGGAAGGAAACAAACCTTCGGGAGGAGGCCAGAAGACACATCTCAGGGAATATGCACCGCTCCTCGGCCTGGGGTGGGAGGGAGGGAGGGGGCAGCACAGAAGACTGGAGAGCAGGGAAGAGTAGGGAAGTGCCGACAGCTTCCACGCGCTGTCAAAGACTTTGGAATGTCACTTGGAGACAACAGGAGCCATGAGAAGACTAGACAGTTTTTGAAATTACTGGATCTACGCGGTAGAAAGCTGGTGCTGGCAGCAGGGATGGCTGGAAGGTGAGAGGCGGCTTCTGCACTATTACAGGTGAGAATGAGGGCCCTTTGCAAAGGGAAGTGGATAAACAGGAGATTTCAGAGTAGAACCACACCTCTTGGTGACTAAATAGCTAATGAAGTTAGGGGTGAGGAGAAACAATGTTCAAAAATTGCTTCTTAAGTCGAGAACTATTCTAAGATAAAAAGCCTCTTAAACGCTGAAGTAAAAGCAGTTCCACTGCTAGGTATTTACCCAAGAGAAATGAAACACGTCTATAAGATTTATACCAGGATGTTCGTAACAGTCTTCCTCCTCCTAATAGATAAAAATGTTATGTTAAATTGGTCTACCTTTAAAAAAAAATTTTTTTTTAAATATTTTTATTTATTTTTAGGAGAGAGAGAGAGAGACAGCGTGAGCAGGGGAGAGTCAGAGAGAGAGGGAGATACAGACTTCGAAATAGGCTCCAGGCTCTGAGCTGGCAGTCAGCACAGAGCCCGATGCGGGGCTCAAACCCACGAACCGCGAGATCATGACCTAAGCGAAAGTCGGACGCTTAACCGACTAAGCCACCCAGGCGCCCCTAAAAAAATTTTTTTAATGTTTATATTTTTGAGAGAGAGAGAGAGAGAGAGACAGACAGACAGAGCATTAGCAGGGGAGAGGCAGAGAGAAAGGGAGATACAGAATCCAAAGCAGGCTCCAAGGGCTGAGTGGTCAGCACGGAGCCTGATGCGGGGCTCGAACTCATGAACCATGAGATCATGACCTGAGTTGAAGTCAGATGCTTAACTGACTGAGCCACCCAGGAACCCCTAAATTGCTCTACTTAAAAAAAAAAAAAAAAAGTCTTATTTATTTTTTAGTAACCTCTACACCCAATATGGGGCTCCAACTCACAGCCCTGAGATCAAGAGTTGCATGCCTTTCCAACTGAGCCAGCCAGGTGCCCCTAAATTGTTCTACTTTTTGAAATGCCCATGGTTTATTTGGGTGAAGAAGTTTCATTGGCTGTTAACACTAGTCTGGACAGAGATAGCACTAAACATAAAAAAAAGTTGATAAACTGGACTTCAAATTTTTCTGCTCTTCCCCGCTTATAGCAATGGACAGATCCATCCTTGACACAGAAAATCAACAAGGAAACAATAGCTTTGAATGACACACTGGACTGGATGGACTTAACAAATACATTCAGAACATTTCGTCCTAAAGCAGCAAAATACACATTCTTCTTGAATGCACGTGGAACGTCCTCCAGAATAGCCTGCATGCTGGGACACAAATCAGCCCTCAACAAGTACAAAAAGATCAAGATCATACCCTGCATATTTTCAGACCACAACACTATGAAACTTGAAATCAACCACAAGAAAAAAATGTGGAAATACAACAAATACTTGACGACTAAAATTTTTTTTGTTCTTGTAAGACTGTGTTAAAATAAATCGGCAAGCCATAGACTGGGAATAGTTCTTGCATTGGTAGATATTTAACAAATGACTCGCTTCCAAAACTCCAACCAATCAATGAGATTTTTTTAAAACATGGATTTGAGCAAGCCTTGAAAAATAAGCAAAAATTCAAATGGCAGAAGGGCCATTCCAGGAGAATAGAATCATGTGAGCAGACACACAGTGTGCAAATACACTCCTAGTTAGAGATTATGAATAGACTAAATAGCTAAAACGTAAAAGAGATCAGAGGTGTGTCTTCTTGCCATGAAACTCAGTGGATCATATACATTGTTCTGTATTGATATAGTGCAATTACATTAAAGCTAATTAAAAAATACATAGGGAGGGCTCCTGGGTGGCTCAGTTGGTTGAGCATCCAACTCTTGATTTTTGGCTCAGGTCATGTGATCCCAGGGTTGTGGGATGGAGGCCCTCATCAGAATGATCAGGGAAATTGTAACAAAAACTGGATTTTACGTGACATGAAGGATATACCATTGATTTGTGTGTGTGTGTGTGTGTGTGTAATATCAATATGGTACATAAGAAAATTCCTTGATTTTTACTTCCTTTAAATTATCTTAAAATGTTTAAAATACTTAAGTATTTAGGGTTGAAATAATACAGCACCTAAGATTTGCCTTACAATTCCCCAGGACACACACACACACACACATACACACACACACACAAGTGGGGTGGGAAGGAATGACGAATGATATGGCAGAGTTGACTGGTGACAATCACATAGGGGTCTGCTGTACTCTCCTGTGTGTTTTTGGAATTTTTAGTCACCAAGTAATAATAAAATCTACTAAGAAAAGAAATGGATAAAAGACTTGAACATATGATTCACAAAGGAGGGTATGCAAACAGCCAATAAGCATCTGCAAAGATGCGCAACCTCAATAGTTAGCAGGGAAGTGGAAATCCCAGCACGCTGAGAAACCACCTTACAAGCTCTAGGAGAGCTAACACAAAATCTCGAAAAGCACCAATGCTGACAAGGATGTGGAAAAGCCGGAACTCGCAGAAACACACACGGCTGGTAGGGGTGTAGAGTGGCTCAATCGCTTTAGACAACTATTTGGCAGTTTCTTATAAAGCAAAAACAATTCCACTCTTAGGTATTTATCCAAGAAAAACGATTCACGTCTATAAGATTCACACAAGAGTGCTCACAGCAGGGGCGCCTGGATGGCTCAGCTGGTTGAGTGTCTGGCTCTTGATTTCAGCTCAAGATTTCACGGCTTGTGGGACTGAGCCCTGCGGTGGGCTCCGTGCTAATGTCATGGAGCCTACTTGGGATTCTCTCCCCCTCTCTCTGCCCCTCCCCTACTCTCACTCTCTGTCTCTGTCTCTCTAAAAATAAAGAAACTTAAAAAAAAATGTTCATAGTAGTCCTATAAATAGATAAAAAACTGGAAACAACTCAACTATCCACCACCGGAAGAATGGATAAGCAAATCATTATGTTCATAAAATTGAATACCATTCAACAATTAAAAAAAGAACAGGAGTACCTGGGTGGCTCAATCACGTAAGCGTCCAACTTTGGCTCAGGTCATGATCTCATCAGTTTGAGTTTGAGCCCCGAATAGGGCTGCTTTGGATTCTGTCTTTCTGTCTCTCTCTCTCCCCCTCCTCCCTGCTCATGTTCTTTCTCTCTCTCTCTCAAATAAATAAATAAACCTTAAAAAAAAGAAGAACTCTGATATATACAGTTACATGGAGGAATCTCAAAAATGTTATGTTGGGTGACAGAAGCCAGGCACAAAAGAGTATCTACTGAATGATTCCATTTATATGAAGTCTAAGGACAAACAAAAATAATGTGACAGAAGTCAGTACAGTAGTTGGCTCTAGGAGGCGGGGGTGGGAACCAGCTGGAAATGGGCATGAGAGGACTTTCTATAAGGATGAAAATGCTCTATATTTTAAGTAGCAGCTGAATGAGAATATTTAGCTGTCAAAACTTATTATCAAATTGAACATTACATTTCTGTTCATTTAAATTCTATATAGGAGCACCTGGGTAGCTCAGATTCTTTCTCTCTCCCTCTGCCCCTCTCTCCTGCTCAAGCTCGCTCTCTTAAAAAAAAAAAAAAAAAAAAATCCATGTGTACTTTACCTCAGTAACAACAACAAAAAATACCTGTTTGTATTGGGAGCCATTCTGAGCCCACTAGCCGAGAAACCTCCTGGTGAGGTTAAAGCAAGTTTGCACGGTCTCCTGCCAATCAGATGATGACCGATACCCACCCCCACTCAATTATTTCTGCTTGAGCACTGACCCCTAGGGTACCTTGTTGATCAATATCGGGAGTGACTTGTCCCCTTATTCTGGCCCTGGTATGATGACTGCAACTTGTGAAGGAACTTATTGTGGGAACTTCTTTTGATTACGGGAACAGACATCGTGTCTCCAGAAGGTCCTGTTTCCCTCCATACTTTCCCTTGAACTATGAACAGGCTAATGACCCTTACGCATAAAAAATTGACCTTTACATGTACAATTCTGTTTCTACCGTTGCGTTAGTCCAAGATGTTCATACAGCTCAACATGTAAATCAACTAACCAAAAATGTCTCTCATGCCCTAGCTATTCAAGAAATCATAAAACTAGACACAAAGGTAAATGCCCTCGAAGAGGCTATTCTATGTATTGGAAATGAGCTAAACTCTTTAAAGGTATGGTTGGCTCTCCGGTGCTGTAAAGAATATAACTGGAAAATCAAGTCTTGCCTGGAGACAAAGAGCCTAACTTAGAAAGAAGGAACAGATCAGGGCAGAAGATAAGTTAGTACATACACCTTTGCTAACTGATGGTGTATAGCAGCCCCTTCCCTAAGGCCTACATTGCACAAACACCTTCCCTTACCCTGACAGCTGTGATAAGGATGGATAAGAGTATCTATAAACCTATGACTTAATCTTAGCGTTATCAAAATGTGAACACCTTGTTATTTTCTTAGTTACTCAACCTCACTATAATTGGGGCAGTTCTGCAAGAAGACTTCTGTAAAACCTGTTTCTGTTCATTTTCCAAAAACGTCTTATCACAGAGAGCTATCCATTGTAAAAATTCCATTTCCTGATGCCATGTTAACATTTGACCTATAAAGACACCAAAATCGACAGGACAGAGATGGCTGCCTGGTGATCAGAAAGGATCTCAGGGCTCTCTCACTCTCTCTCTTGCCGACACCGTCCATCCTTCAGGGACCCCTGGACCTGCCGGAGCCGGCCTCCGACACGTTTGGAGCTTTGGGAGGAGTAGGGACTAGAAATTAGAAGTCAGAGAATGGGGACACCTGGGTGGCTTAGTCTGTTAAGTATCCACTCCTGGTTTCAGCTCAGGTCATGGGTTCAGCCCCATAGTGAGCTCTGCGCTGACTGTGCGGGGCCTGCTTGGGACTCTCTCTATCCTCTCTCTGTCCCTCCCTTGCTCTGTCTCTCAAAATACATAAAAGTAGAAAAAGGGGTCAGAGAACGGATGACGGTTACAGCTCAGCGCAGAGGTAACCAGAGTGCCCAGAGAAGAGGAAGAATGGCACATGAGAATAAAAGACAGCAACGTGGGAGCCCACGCAAGTCATTTTGGAACGAGACAGAAAGCCGTGCCTGTGTCTGAGAAGCGGTCAGATATGAAGGTGGCGAGATCTGTAAGACCAAAGCAGAAGAGAGCTCAGAAGAGGACAAAGTTGGTCAGTGACATGAAAAAAGCAAGAAGGAAAAGAGTCTAACAAACGTGCTCCCTGAGAGGCTGCCTGACATTCTATTTTCCTTCATGATAAAATGTATAAATCGTACATTTTCTGTTTCTTGCTTTCGTTGACATTAATTGAATGTCTGTTATTATGTCAGCAGTTTGTCACCTTCTATAAACCATATGACAATCCGGAGGTAGCTGATCTGATTGTCTCAAAATTTTAGGTAAGAAAACTGAAGTCTAAGTGTGCGTGGCTGGCTTAGCTGGTAGAGCATGCAACTCTTGACCTTGGGGTTGTGGGTTCGGGCCCCACACTGGACTCAGAGATTTCTTAAAAGGAAACAACACTGAAGTTCAGAGAACTTAAGTGAATCACTTCAGGTCAGTCACACAGATAGTAAGTGACAGAACCAGGACAGATCGATTCGTTCCTTTAATCATCAACAGAGCACTTGCAGAGTTCCTATCCCACAGCAGCTGCATGAGGGGCTGGCGAACAATTGCTTTGGATGCTGCTGGAAGGCTGAGTTTGAGGAAGGTAGGAAAGTAGTTGCAGGACCTGGCAAGACGGAGGTCATGGGTGACACCAACACTGGCGTTTCACAGAGTCACAGTAGCCAGTATATGACAGACTGAAGTGTGAATGTGGTAAGAAGTAGAAACGGCGTGGGGGCAGATTTTTTAAAAGAAATATGGAGAAGGGGATGGGGGTAAAAGATTTTTAAAAGATGGGAGACTCGAAAGCTCGTTTGTGTGCGGAGGAGAACCGTTCACTGGAAAGGACAGGGGTGGCGCTGTAGGTCGCAGATGAGGGGACCAAAAGAGCTAAGGGAGTGAGGGGTGCACGGGGTGTCTCCCTCACCGCGCAGGGTCACGGTGCGTGCAGCAGAGCAGCCTGAGCACGTGGCAAGGGACCGATGCCGCACTGGGCCAAGAGTCCTAAGTTGGGGGGGAGGGGCGCCTAGCTGGCCCAGCTGGTGGAGCATGCGACTCCTGATCTTGGGGCAGTGGGTTTAAGCCCCACATTGGGTGTAGATCACTTAAAAAAAAGTTTGGGGGTGCCTGGCTGGCTCAATCGGTAGAGCATGAGACTCTTGATTTCAGGGATGTGGGTTTGAGCCCCACGCTTGGTGTAGTGATTACTTAAAAATAAAATCTTACAACAAGAGTCCTACGGGTGGCAATGAAAACACATATTCCTGGCTCAAAAGTCACCCCGACAGAAAAAGGACACAGCGTGGAGCCTGTTGCTTCCCCCGTCCCCACAATACCATCCCCAGTGGGCCTATGGGGATATAAAGTCAGAAGTGAGACTCACATCATCCAACAACTTGCTTCCTTCTGGATCCATCTCAGAAAGTTCTCGAAATGCTTCATCCCCCACAAAGCAAATTTCATGTCCGTCCTACCCCAATAAAGAGAAAAGAAATTTGGCGGAAAGACACCTCGCAGAAACCCCTGGTGCAGCCCATCCCCTCCGTGAATAATACTTACAGGGTCAGCCAGAATGACCACTTGCACTGTTGCTTTTCCTGGGGTATCCAGACTCACCAGGGGAGTCAGGATCTTCTGGTTCTCCCTTTTCATTAAGTCTTCTAAGTCTGGTAACTTGAGGAAGACAAAGAGGCACAGTGAGCAAGGGATTACGTACCACTCTCACGCCGTGGTCCTAAGCCACCCTACGGGAGGATCAGATCCACCAGAGAGAACTCAGGCACCATGTGTTTCATTCTGTTATCTCAGCCGCTCTTGAGACAACTGTTGAACTTGATACCAAAGCACAATCAGAATAAACCTGACGTTCTTAGCGGGTTCAACTAGCTAGTCACAGAGCTTAAACCAAAGATCTAGGACCAAACATTACCTCTTTTTGGGGGCAAGAAAAGGCAATTCTTCCAAAAGCTGAAGCATGATCAACGGGACCCTTGATACCCTGTAGTTCCAGCTTACACTGAAAAGAAATGAGAGAGGTCTATTTTTCGGAACAGGTTATATGGCTAAAAAAAGAAAAGAAAAAAAATTTAAACAGCACTAAAGGAATAAAGTAAAAATGAATGCTCCCTTCAACTTTCCCCAAAGGCAACTAGTCCATAGTTTCCTGGAAGACATATGGCATAAACAGATCTTTTTTTTTTTTTTACACAAACGGCAGCATAATTTACACATTATTCTGTCCCTTGTTTTTATCCAATGTTACTATGTCAGCACATAAGGATTCACCCCATTCTTTCTGACAGCTGCACAGTAATCCACTCTATGGGTGACCTATAAATTACTGAACTATTCCTCTAATGCACAGGACACTGAGGTTATTTCTTATCTCCTGCTGCTACTAACAGTGCTGTGACAGATAACCTTGTACACATGTCTTTGTGCACATGTATGGCGATCAGGTCTGTAAAATAAATTCTTGGGAGTGGACTTGCTGGGTCAGAGTGCAAGGACTCAATCATGTTCAAATGTTAGGTTATCAAAAAAAAAAAAAAGATGAAATTCAACAATGACTTCTGACTCCGCAATTCCACTTCTGAAAGGCTATATCCCCCAAAATAAACAAAGGTAATATTTGGATGATGAGGTTAGCAGCAATTTTTATTTGCTTCTTTCTGCTGACCTGTGTAAATATTGAGTCACTGTGAAAAAACGCTGACAATAACCTTCATGGTATCCTCATTTATAAGCCAAATACAAGGTAACAGATTACTTCTCTCCAAGATCACTCACCTGGTTATCAGCATAGCCCAGCAATGCCCTTTGCTTCTCTTCATCTTTTTCATAAATTTTCATTCCCAATAGATTAGACCAGTAGTTTAAGGATTTCTGAAGATCAGACACTGCTAGAGTGACTTTTAATACAGGGTCTGGAGAGTAATAAAGCAGTAGGAATGAACAGGTCAGTGCAATAGACTAGAACAGAAAGACTAAATCAGGCTTGTGTATATATAAGAATTTAGCTTATGATAAGAATGGGGTTTTATGTCAGTATGAAAGGGCACATTATTCAATAAATGGCATGAAGAAAACTGGCTTGTCATTTGGTGGGGAAAAATGTACACTTTTTTTTTTTTAATGTTTTATTTATTTCTGAGAGAGAGAGACAGCATGAGCAGGAGAGGGTCAGAGAAAGAGAGGGAGATACAGAATCTGAAACAGGCTCCAGGCTCTGAGCTAGCTGTCAGCACAGAGCCTGACACAGGTCTGGAACCCAAGAACCTTGAGATCATGACCTGAGCTGAAGTCGAACGCTTACCGACTGAGCCACCCAGGTGCCCCAAAAGATTTTTTTAAAACCTGACACCAAAGGTAGAAAAGCCAGGAAACAAAAAATTAGGTTAATTACATGAAATGTAACAACCTAGGCAACAACCACCTCCCCCCAAAAAGAAAAAAAATTATAATCAAAGAGTAAATGACAAAGTAGGAAACATTTTTGCAACATACATGACAAAAAGTCCTTAATATTTTTTTCTCTTTGTTTAGTTTATTAATTTTTGAGAAAGAGAGAGAAAGAACAGCAAACAAGCAGTGCAGGGGCAGATAGAGAGGAAGAGAGAATCCCAAGCAGGTTCGGCACTGTCAGCACAGAGACTGACGCGGGGCTCAAATCCATGAACTGTGAGATCATGACCTGAGCTGAAGTCAAGACTCAGACACTCAACTGACTGAGCCACCCAGGTACCCCAGTCCTTAATATTTAAGTCACCTCTAAACATTAGTAGGAAAAAAGACAAATATCCTAGAAAAATGGGTACCAAGCGCAAATTGGTAACCCACAGACAGAACTGGGATGGTCGGTGAACACATGGGAAAGCATCCAACCTCACAAATAATCAAAGAAATTGGAATTAAACCACAACATTTTGCTATCCCATTGGCAAAGGATTGTAAAAGTTCACAGTATTAACAGTGATAGGGTGGGGGAGGAAATCACAATCATAGAGTACTGGCAGAGTGTTAATTAGCTCATTTCTGGGCAGCAATTTAACAGAATGTACCTAAAGCCTAAAAAAAATGTAAACTGCTTTTGAAAGAGCAATCCTATATTCATCAAATGAAGAAGTAATTGTAGATGTATGGAGGGCTTTCGACACAAAGACATTCTTTACAGTGTTGCCTGTAACAATGAAACACTAAGGACGGAAACATCCTACAACAGGCAACTGTTTAATTCCCAGATGTAATAAACACAATGGCATCACTACAATGAAGTCCAAGATACACACATATATACATTTATATACACGTTTCTTTTGATCACTGATTGGAAAGGTGCACTCTAAAATGTTAACAGTGATTATCTCTGGCTATGTGGGTACTGTTTTCTTTCTTCTTTGTTTATTTGTCTAGGAAAACAATCTATTTTTTTCAAAAAGAACAAAAGTTTTATTAAAATATTTAACATTATTGGAAATTTTTATATTGTAAAGTGATCCCTGAGGAGCTGTTCTGACTATGAGAAATTCAGGACATTTTTCTTCAGTTTTCACTGCCTCTGCCCCATTTGCTAAAACAGCAGCAGCAGGAGTGAAGTGTTTCTCACAGGGGCCTCCGCCTGGCGGCTGTTCGTTTTCTCCACTCACTGAGAAATAAACACATTCCAGACAACAGGGACCCCGAGGGACACAGAATAGGAATGGTAACAGTACTGACATGACCCAGTGACTCAAAGGAGGGCTGGACACCAGCTAGACTGATAGAGGTGACTCTATTGCCAATCAGAAATTAACGTCCCGAAGTATTATCGTTCCAAAGGACTAAAACATCTCAGAACTGGGGGGCTCTCCATTATTTTATTTATTGAAAATCACTGGGGCGCCTGGGTGGCTCAGTCACTTAAGCGTCCAACCCTTGATTTAGGCTCAGGTCACGATCTCACAGTTGTGAGATTGAGCTCTGGTTTGGGCTCCACACTGAGCGTCATGGAGCCTGCTTAATTAAGATTCACTCTCTCTCCCTCTGCCCCTTGAACCTCCACTTGCTCTCTAAAAAGACAAAACTAATAATAAAATAAAGGAAATACTATTAAAATTAGGGGAAAAACACCACAGGGGAATTAATAGTAGGAGTTAAGCTTTAAAGTTAGTACAGAGGGGCACCTGGGTAGGTCAGTCAGTTGAGTGTCCAACTCTTGGTTTCGGCTCAGGCCATGATCTCATGGGTCATGAGATTGAGTCCCGGGTCGCGCTATGTGCTGTCAATACAGATTCTGCTTGGGATTCTCTCTCTCCTCTCTCTCTGCTCCTCACCCCTGCTCACATGCATGGTCTTTCTCTCAGAATAAGATTTTTAAAAAGTATATAAAGCAACAATCACCTGTCAAAAATAATCATAAAAATCCCAGTAGTATACGGAAACTCCATCTGGCACGGAGTGCTATGGTGCCGGTCTAACCTCCCACCCTGGAACAGATCATTCTCTCCTTCACTCAGCTCCAGAGGAAAAGCAAGTAGCATGACACACAGCACCAGACTCCATATGGGGGCGCCTGGGCACTGAGGCGGACTAGTGAACGGAAGGGCCTGCATCCCCCATCTCAGGTCCGCTTAGAGGAGTGTGTTCACGGACCGAAGGGACAGGCAGGACCGCCTTTGCTGTTCACCAGGTTTTAAAAATCTTTTTTTCTGCCATTGTTTCTTTCAGCAGAGCAGACGGCAGAATTTGTAGGAATCACATATATGACGAGCACGCTTTTAGTAAATGAAACAGCCGTGCAACGTTTCTCCCCTCATGGCAGTCACCGTGGTGGACTCCTCACTCCCATTCCACCCTCACTCCCTCAGTACCAGCTCGACAGTTTGGGAAACTGACCTCAGCTGGAGACCAACTCGTCTAAGGTTGATCCTATTTCCCTTAGCAGTGGCTCATTCAGGAGCAGGGCTGTGAATAAATCTGACCAGCAACTTTGCAGGAAGACTCTAGGAGAGTTTTGCTCTGCTTTTATTATGTTTTCTTCTTTTTATTTTATTTTATTTTATTTTTTAATTTATTTCTGAGAGAGAGAGAGGCACTGCAAGCCGGGGAGGGTCAGAGAGAGGGAGACACAGAATCTGAAGCGGGTTCCTGGCTCTGAGCTAGCTATCAGCACAGAGCTCGACACAGGGCTGGAACCCACGAACGGACGCTTAACCGAGAGCCACCTAGGTGCCAGGCTCTGCTTTTAATAAAAACCAACAGGTTGAGTTGCCTGAGTGGCTCAGTCCGTTGAGCGTGTGACTTCGGTTCAGGTCATGATCTCACGGTTTGTGAGGTGAAGCCCCACATCGGGCTTGCTGCTGTTAGCACAGAATCAGCCTCAGATCCTCTCTACCCCTCTCTCTGCCTTGTCCCTGCTTGCACGTGTGCACTCTCGCATTCTCTCTCAAAAATAAACATTAGGGGTGCCTGGGTGGCTCAGTCGGTTGAGGGTCTGACTTCGGCTCAGGTCATGATCTCACAGTTCGGGAGTTTGATCCCCCACCTCTGCCAGCAGAGAGCCCACTTCGAATCCCCGTCTCCTTCTCTCTCTGCCTCTCTCTTGTGCACATGTGCACTCTCTCTCTCTCAAAAATAAACATTAAAAAAAATTTTTTTTAAACAAAAAGCAACAGGAAGTCAGTCTCTCCCTCCCCTGCTAGATGAGAATGTGGGACCACATAGCCACCCAGCAACCATGAGGGAACCAGCTCTAGGAGATGTGGACCCCCGCCCCGTGAGCTAGAACATTTTCTTCGTGTTCCGGCTCGTTTGAGATCGATTTTGTTACTCTCGGCTGAAAGTGTCCTAACTGGATACATTCCCTGTAGAACAGAACCAAAACCGGTTTAGATCTCCTGGGATTATGTACTGACATTCTAATATGAAACCATGATTTCTGAAAAAACAGACAATGCTGGCTCGGGAAAGACATGTCATGCCAACAGAGACTTCACAGGAGAGAGAAATCTGCCTCCTCTCTCCTTTCATCAAGGATGCCGTCGGACGGAGGGCTTTTACAAGCCTGGTATAATTACCTGCCTGAGGTGGACTTCGGTTCTGCAAAAAGAACTTATATCCTCCAGGGGCTTCAGTTTCAAAAACACCTTCTGTAACTTCGCTGAGTGGCCACCCCAGCCTCCGGGCACTGCTGACGGCCTGGCTAGAGGCGAGTGTGATGCCCTGTGACAAATACCAGTGTCATCAAGTGTGTAACCACAGGTCTTTTCCAGAACGAGGTAATGAGGCAAAACCCCACTGCTTTCACAGCGTGCCACCGATGATTTAACAGGCATTCAAATGTTTCGTCTAGTGATGTTAAAGTAGGTTTTGGACATATTTCTCCTACAAAGATTCCAAATGTTGTGAATCGTAGGACAGAAACTCAAAGGCTAGAGAGGTTTGATCGACTTAATACCAAAGATGGTCTCTTTCATTTTTGTTTTTTATTTAACGAAGATAATCTCTTCTAATTTTAAAGATCTAGTCAGAGAAATCTTTTTTGTTTTTATTATTTTTGAGAGAGAGAGAGAAAGCATGTGAGTGGGGAAGAGGCAGAGAGGGTAGGAGAGATCTGAAGCGGACTCTGAGCTGACAGCACAGAGCCGATGCAGGGCTTGAACCCACAAACCGTGAGATCATGACCTGGGCCGAAGCTGGACGTTTAATCGACTGAGCCACCCAGGCGCCTCGAAATCTTGATCTTACCTTAGTTTGCTAGCTACCTATTTAAGATGTTTTGTTTTTATTTTTGCTTTCTAAACAAAAAAGTTTAAACCAACTATCAAGGTATCATTTAAATTTAATCAAAATACCTAAAAATGTACACTGTCTTCTGATAAGACCAGCTGCACTTCTAACTTGGATTATCAATAACAGCCTCTCTTGGGGCGCCTGGGTGGCTCAGTCAGTTAAGTGTCCGGTTCTTGATTTCGGCTCAAGTCACGGGGTCTCGCAGCGTAAAACTGAGCCCTGCGTTAGGCTCTGTGCTGATAGTGTGGAGTCGGCTTGGGATTCTCACTCTTTCCTCTCTCTCTCTTTGTCCCGCTCTCTCTCAAACAAACATTTAAAAAAAAAAAAAAAAGGCAAAAAAACACCCAGCCTCGCTTTCCGTGAGTCTCGTCAATCCAACATCCGCTCGGCAGCCAGAGTAAATTTCCTGAAACACACCCTACTCTCAGACAGCAACTGGATGTTGTTTCTCCCCCGCTTCCCCTGCTTGCAACCCCCGAGAGCTCATCATTTCACTAGGGATGGCTTCTAGTGGCCTGAAAGGCCCCACACAATCTGAGCCCAAGTCACTTCTGACCCAGCTCCTCCCACTTTCCCCTTGCTCTGTCTCTTCCAGCCACACCGGCCTCCGTGCATTTTCTCGAACATGCCGGCTGCCGTCTGAGGGCTTCTGCACAGGCTGTTCTCTACCTGGATTGCTCTTTCCCATGATACCCATGCAACTCTCTTCTCTCCTGCAAGACTTTCCTCTCATGTCACCTCCTCGCTGACCCCTGCCCTGGACACCTTCCTTAAAACTAAAACCAGTCATGTGTCCCATAGTCCTCCTCCTCCCTTACTCTGCTCTATTCTTTTCCAATAACAACGATCACCTTTAAAACAACATATTATGTGACTTATTTCTTTACTCCCCTGCCAGGCATAGGTTTTTGTCTGTTTAGCTCCCCAGTTATCCGTAGTTCCTAGAACCGTGCCTGGGACACAGCAGGCACTAGGCACATATCTGTGGCAGGAATAAATACCACAATAATTTAATACGTAGTTCACGTCACAAATTTATTAACACACATGTAAACTAAGTTCCTAGGTGTGAGACCGCAAGGTCAGAGGATAAAGCATTAGTCATTTCGACGCTGCGGAAGCGAGGATGCGGTGATGTCACACGCCCTCATCAGTGCTGTGAGAGAGTGGCGCTCTCCTAACGCCCTGTCTGACCCGGTGTGCTGTCACACTGTTTGATTTTTGCCAAGCTGCCAGGTGACCAATGGTAGCTTGGCAGTTGAACGTTGTTTTTTTTTTTCAATGTTTAAGAGACATTTCTAATTTATTTTCTGTGGCTGTCTCTTCATAGCTTTTGCCCTTTTTTCAAAAAACCACATTGTCAATCCTTTTCTGTTTCACCTATAGCAGATCTTTACAGAAATGGGGGTTCCGTGTAACCTGTCTTTCTGCTCCACGAACTGAGGCGCACAGAAGGGCCCTGTCATCAGGGAACCCTGCCTGCCAGAGGGTCTCCGGGAGGCCCAGGCCCAGCCCCGCTGCTCTCCCCCACCCTCACCATCTCCGGCCCCTGCTGCTCCATCAATCAACATCTGAGTGGAGCCGGGGCCACGTTCGCAGCGCCAAAGTAGTCTTGCTCTTTCTTCCCTCCCGGATTTAAATTTGGCGAGTAGAGACAAGGAGAAACAAACATGAAGAAATGTTCATATGCACTCAATCACCAAATCCTCCGAACTCTACCTCCCAATCGGCTCTCGAGCCCACCCACTTCTCTCCATCCGCTGCAACTACCGTGTTAAAGAACTGGCGGCCCGTCGCTTCCCGTCCCACCCCGGCGCCGTGTCCTCACAACCCCCACGCCCCTGCCAGGCCGGCTCTTGTACACCACAGACGCGGTGTCACCCCCCGCTTCAGAAGACTCCAGTCTATTTTTAGAATGAAGTCTAAACACCTGCCTGGGACGCGGTCCCAGCTTACTTCTCCAGCCTCACATCTGCCCCCTTGGTGTCCATGCACCTCGCTCCGGCCAGACGTGCTACTCACAGGTGCCCGTGCTACTCACGGGTCCCTCGCTCTGGCCAGATGTGCTACTCACGGGTCCCTGACTGCCACGCTCCGCCCCCCCTGCAGGCCTCTCCTCCCACTGTCCCGCCTGATGCCACTCAGCAGGGCAGCTCGGGTGTCACTTCCGGAGAGACTTCCCTGCACTCTCACCAATCTGGGAATAAGTTGGGAATTCTTCCCAGGTGTTCCCACATCCACCTGTTCTCATGCCAATCCTGGCACTTATCATACTGTGTTCCTCTGTCTCTTAACTTGCCTCTCCGCCAGGCAGGAAGCTCCTCGGGCCGGTACACGTGCTTCATTCTACTGCACCCCCGGGACCTAACAAGGTACACGGCATATAGCAAGTGGCAAAAAGTATCTATTAAATGAACAAATTAGTGAGAGACATGCAGAGTGAGAAAAACAAAAACGAAGATACTAACTATGATAAATCTGAACAGTCCTTTTCATTTACAAACCACTTTTATAGATAATTTGATCCTCGTAAAAATTCCACCTTGATATCATTATTATTTTAACAGGCGTTAACCAACCATTTGATCAAATGACCAAAATAAACATCTTGTATGAGATAGGTCTGCTTAGTAGAGAGTAAAACTAGTGCCTGCTATCTGGTTGTGTATTTGGGCTCAGAGACATTATCTCTATCATGTAGTAACTGCTCAATAAGAGAAAGATACTATAACTATTAGAAGCACAGTAACTTGAATTCTTGCATGAAAGAATGAATGTAGTGCATGCAATGCCTTCTTCTCTTTCTCCTTAAACCTTCTCATGTTTTCCTCTCACTAGCACTGGCTGTAATAGCGCATCCCAATCCTAAAGTTCATTAGAAGAGAGTTCTCTGGTTGGTGATCAGGACTGACCAGACCAATGACTCTGGCCCTTCTGCCTCTTAAGGTTCAATCATTCCCCCAGAGGAGTCTTATCTCTGTCAAAGCTGTCGCTAAGTCTTAATTTTTTTTTTTTGTTTTTAACGTTTGTTTATTTATTTATTTATTTATTTTTTATATATTTCTGAGAGAGACAGAGAGAAAAAGTGTGAGCAGGGGAGGGTTAGAGAGAGAGAGGGAGATACAATATCTGAAGCAGGCTCCAGCTCTGAGCTAGCTGTCAGCACAGAGCCCAACGTGGGGCTCGAACCCACGAACCGCAAGATTATGACCTGAGATGAAGTCGGACGCTTAACCGACTGGGCCACCCAGGCACCCCTGTTTATTTATTTTTTTTGAAAGAGAGAGAGACAGATCATTAGCAGGGGAGGGGCAGAGAGAGAGGGAGACACAGAATCTGAAGCAGGCTCCAGGCTAGGAGCTGTCAGCACAAAGCCCAACACAGGAGCTTAAACCCATGATCCCGGGATCATGACCTGAGCTGAAATCAAGAGCTGGATGCTCAACCGACTCTTGATTTTGTCTGGCTCAGGTCATGGTCTCACCTTTTGTGGAATCAAGCCCTGCAGCAGGCTCTGCATTGTTAAGGATTCTTGGAATTCTTTCTCCCCATTCTCTGTCCCTCCCGTTTGCATGCTTACCTTTTCAAAAATATAAACTAACCCCCCCCAAAAAAAAACAAAACAAAAAAAACCCCATAAAGGTAATCACTGACCTGCACCCAAAGGCAATCAATTTCAGCAGTCATCATACCCAAAGCTGTATCAGGGATCTCAATAAAAGGCACTGCCAAATATCTGCTAGAATGAAATGACATTTACCATGAAGTCGTTGCCAAGCTTGTAGTGTCCGATGCCATAATTGTAAGTCAGTTCTGCGACAAAATGATCATCCTCTGGTCCAAATCCCACCATTGTTTTACTCCATTTCCCATCATAGGGCCTAGAGAAATGAAAGTAAGTGAACCCCGTGACCACAGACAAAATCTGCCTCAGACCCCCCCAAAGGACCTCGTGGGACAGAGCAGAGGGCAGTCACCTCTGGTCCTCTCGGTCCCCGTAAGGGTGAGATGACCTCTTAGCTGGTGCTAAACACAGTTATGGACAGCTCCAAAGACCACCTGTCTGGCACTTATTTGAGGGAAAGATTCATTTACTTCTCTTTAAAGTAGGGGACAGGCTCCTGTAAAGAGGCTTTACTGACCTTTATTTTTTTATATATCCACCAACAAACATGTGATTCTCATTAGGCTTCGAATTTTCCAGCTTGCTATGGCTATGAAGCTCAAGAGACCCTCGATAAAACTTCGCTTCCTTTAGAACATACACTTATTTGTGTTCTTGAAGTTGCCACCCTAATTTATTGTCTCCTGAATTTATTCCCCTGACTTATATTCACTTTGAGAAACTTCTCCAGGAGTTCTTAGAGACCAAATGAGATTTTAAGAAACAAGGTATCAGGGCACCTGGGTGGCTCAGTCAGTTAAGTGTCCGACTTCAGCTCAGGTCATGATCTCATGGTTTGAGCCCCACGTCGTGCTCTGTGCTGACAGCTCAGAGCCTGGAGCCTGTTTCGGATTCTGTGTCTCCCTCTCTCTCTGTCCCTCCCCCACTAGTACTCAGTCTCTCTCAAAAATAAATAAACATTAGAAACAAGGTGTCATACCCATTACAGGCAGCTTTGCAGCCCTCTTCAAATTCCTCATGCCGCAGAATCTAGTAAGGAAAGAGAATAAATTGTCCAGTGTTACCAGTACTATACACAGCATACATAGCACAGGCTAAAATGTTAAACACAGACATTTACAACTTATATATAATAATATATAAGCTTTATTGGTAAGACAAAGATAATGAGCTTTATCTTTTGCCCAGACTCGAAGCAGTAGAGGTAAGGAAGAGCAGTCTGACACCAAGGGTCAAACAACCAAAGCTGTGAAATCTACTTACACTGGGAAGCAGTGCTGTCAGTTAAAATAACAACACCCCTCTCCCCTCAAGCCAAAGTATGGCCTTCGGCATTAGAGAATTCTGATTTGGAATCCTGGCTGTCACTCAATAGTCATGTAACTCTGAGCATGTTGCTGACGGTCCGAGTATCCCAATGCATTGTGGAAACAGATAACTTACTAGACTATTTGACACAGAACCCCACACAGAGCAGGCTCTCAATGTCTTGGCTTCTACTTTCCTTTTTGGTTCCCACTGCTACGCTCCAGTACAAGTTCCCATCAGTTTTCTCCTAGACTATTAAAATTCACCCTCACTGATCTTTTTCCTTAATACCGTCATAAAATTATGTGCCTAATGCACAGCTCTGATCACATCCTTACCCTCTTCTAAAATGTAAGACAACCCCTTACTTACTGTCCATAAAATTCCAAACCCTTAGTATTCAAGACAATCAGAAGTAGTCCCAGCCTATGTGCCCTGATATCCCATCTGAACTCTATCTAAGTAATCTAAGCTAAAGGCCCAGAACACTAGTGGTGTTTCCCAAACATACCTTATGTCTGCATTGGCTCTTTTCCTAGTATGGTATATACTTTATATAGTACAGCATATACTAGTATTTTCTAGTATACTTCTCTCTCTAATCTTGGTTTGTAGAAATCCTGGCTATCTTTAGAGATCACCTCAAATACCAGGTCTGCATGAATTATTTCCTGATGACCCAGCCCCAGATTAAATCTTCCCTGTTGTATTTCTGTAATAATAGTAGCAGCAAACACTTACCTAGCACATATGATGTATCCAATACTACACACGTAACAGTATTAATTTTCACAACAACCCTTTAGTGGAAGAGACATGTTAAGGGAGAGTTTTGTGGTTTTCCATCATTTATCAAGTTTTGACTTCCATTAATGTACTATGTACAATATACCATGTACAAATCCAACTCTCACCTCCACCCTCATCCTAGGCCAGGAGCTCTAGCTGAAGACAGATACTAGGGTCATTTTCATTTTTGTCACCAAAGCTCAACACCGGACCATGAAACACGGAGGATGTATTTTAAATGAATTCAGGTAACTCCTTTGCACTCCACGACTTCTGCACTGTCTCTGCATTAAACTGCAGTCGTGCACCTTTAAATCCCTTGCTCAAACTCCCCAAGAGCTTCCACCAGCATCTGCCACCTGATCCCTGTAGATCGCAGCTGCTCAGGGCTGGAGGCCGCTTCCGGGTGTTGGAAATAACTGGTCCTGACTTAGGGCCGGAGCTTTTGAATATACAAAAGGGACCATTCAAAGCAGCCCTACAGAAGCAAAGGTCTAGGCTGACTCTCTAAACCAAAAGGCTCCAAACCGGAAGTGACTCAGTTGTTGTTTACTGGAAGAGTATTATATCACTTTTTGTTTACGGTCTTTCCCCCACCAGGGCTGGAAGCGCCACAAGGGCCGAGGCTCAGTATCTGTAAATGAACTTCTATGAAAGAAAGGTGTGTGGGCACACAGTCGGCGACTAATAAAGGCCCCTTCCAAAGGTCGTCTAACCCAACCAGTGACATGCAACTCTTCTCGAAAACACAAGGCTAAAAGGAGTCCAGGGCTAAGGTCGGACACCCGGGCCCTGGCTGAGATTCACGACACACCCATCTGTCCCCACCATGGTGCGCCAGTCCCTCCGGGCCCCGTCTGCACCTTCATCCCCAGGACATCGCGAAAGAAATGCGTGGTCTGGAAGCGGTTTCCCACTTTGAACACGAAGTGCAAAGCTCGACGAGCAGCCATACCCACAGCTTCCACTCCCATCCCGCGTACAGTGTAGCCCGCCAGCAGCTGCGCAACTGCGCACGGGCCGGTGACGTCACTGGTCGGCGCCGGCGCGCTTCCGTGACGCAACCCAAGGCGCGAGGGAAGATGGCAGCGCGGTTGAGAGGTTTGGGTTGGGCCGCCCGACCGCTGCTGCCGGTGGTCCACACTTGGGACTTCCACGCGCAGCGCTGGGTCCGGGCGCTGCGGCGGAGCCCCGTGAGGGTGGTGTTTCCATCTGGTCAGGTGGTGGAACGGAAGCCCGGTTCTGGGAAGCAGCCCGGCAGGGCGGCGGCTGAGACCGGTCCCCACGAGCCGCGACGGAAGCCGTCGCTTCAGGTGCCTCCATCCCAGACGCCTTGCACCTGGGAAGATTCGGGGCTTCGCTATGATAAGGCCTTACCCGGGGACAGAAGGCTGAGGTGATGTGTTCCTGAGACTTGTCATGCATTCGCGTTTCTCTTCCCGCCTGCTAACGGGACCTTAACCTCTTTCCTCCTGTGGGAGGAGTTCTTCCACTTGCAGCCCATTGGTTTTTATAGTGCATGGAGTGCAGAATAAGTGTTTTCCTTGGAATTCCTTTGTTAATGTCTGTGAAGTTCTTTCTATCTGTTAAAACTAGGTGTGTCTCCGTAACAAAGATGTTGGTAATTAACCCGTCTTTTTGTTTCCTCTCACAGCAGTGTAATGACAATTGTTAAGTCGAGGCCATTTCGGGAAAAGCACGGGAAGATCCTGCTGGAAGGGCGCAGGCTGATTGCAGATGCTCTCAAGGCTGGTGCTGTACCAAAGGTTTTCTTCTTTAGCCGCCTGGAATACATAAAGGAGCTACCCATTGATAAGCTGAAGGGTGTCAGCCTCATTAAGGTGAAATTTGAGGAAATCAAGGAATGGTCAGACCTCGTAACACCACAAGGAATAATGGGTCAGTGGTTATACAGTGTGTCACCAGAAGCAGAGACCTAGGATTATCTTAGGGCAGCAAATTTTATTTAAACCAAATTCCAAATGTTATTGCCTAACCTTTTCTTGAGACATCCAGAAAAATACAGTTTTCAAATCTGTGCATCTTTCAGTATTTTCAATGGAAGCTGAAGCCAGTTTTTTTTTTTTTTGTCATCATTTGTATTATGGTTCTTTATAGTCTCTAGGAATAATCACTCTTCCTCGAACATTCTTTTTTTAGGTCACTTCAACCTATAATGTCCAACTAAAATTTAAGAAAATGCTTACTAAAAGATTTAGCCTTCCATTTGCACAAGACCACTGCCAGTATGGTGATAACCTTTCTGTCATTGACCCCCTTATTCTAGAAGCAGGTCTGAGCAGTAAGCTGCAAGCTGTCAAGCTGTTACCCTGTTTAGCCCATTCAATGGGAAACTGTGTCTTTTTTAAAAGTTTTTTTTAATGTTTACTTATTTTGGAGAGAGACAGAGTGTGACTGGGGGAGAGGCAAAGAGAGAGGGAGATGCAGAATCCAAAGCAGGCTCCAGGCTCTGACCTGTCAGCGCAAAGCCCGACGCGGGGCTCAAACCCACGAACTGTGAGATCATGATCTGAGCCGAGGTTGGACACTTAACTGACTGAGCAACCCAGGCTCTCCTAATTTAAGATTCTAATAGACTGTGGTGTCTATTAGCACTTAGAAAGTCTTTTTTCTAAAGATAAAAACTTTTTAAAAAAGGAAAAAGAGAGTCTTTTTTCTAATTACGGGAAGTCTAGATTCTTTATATTTTTTTGACATCGGAATTATATTTTAGATCTGAGAATTGAATGGCAATAAATGTAGAAGTTTCTCTTGGATAGTAAGGGACATTTAGGGTAGGGGAAGTTATCTTCAAGATTCTTAGGTTTAGGCCAGGGTTTCCTACCAGTTGTGCATGTATTTTCCTGTAGCGGGTAAAGTGCAGCTGTTAGTTGGGAGAGGAAATTTGGGGACCATCTCTTGTTCTGTGACCCAGCAAGTCCTAGCGACCTGTGACCTTACACTCAGAACGCTCCCCTAGGGTGGGGATTTGGACTGCTAAAGTCCTCCCCTAAGTTTCTGTGCTCTTGTTATCTCTACCTGTAATTGCCTTCTCTACACTACAGTGCAAGTAGCACTCATTTTTATCATGCTGGCCACTTTGGACCACTTTGTGTTGATAGCGGCTAGCCCATCCTGGACTTCCGTGGCCCTCCTCATCATTATGACTGCTTGCATCATTGTGTGATTTTAAAAATATATATTATTTAGCTTACCCTTTTATTTCATATTTGAGAAGTGGAGTAAAAGGAGAAAGAGATGACTGCCTGTCAGGCTCCTGGCACATCTCTGAATCCAATAACACAAGTCGGGCCTCTAGCAGTGTTCTCGTCGCTGCAGCCCTTCAGGTAGAAATTAAAGGATCAACAGGGCACCTGGGTGGCTCAGTCGGTTAGACATCCAGCTTTAAGCTCAGGTCATGATCTTGTGGTTTATGGGTTTGAGTCCCATGTTGGGCTCTATGCTGAGAGCCTGGAACCTGCTTCAGATTCTATATATCCCTGTCTCTGCCCCTCTCTGCTGGCACACTGTCTCTCTCTTCCAAAAAGAAAAAAAAAAAAAGAAGTTAAAGGACTTCCAAGGTTCCCTGCTGTTGTGACTCTTAAGTGCAGGATCTTTTTACCATATACAGATGCCTAATTCCGTTCCCTTCCCTTCACAGATGGGTTAGGTATAAGTATGTATTCTTGGTGTGAATAAATTGGAATAGCCTTTGGGGAGGACAGTTTAGCGGTATCTATTAAGAGTGCTTTGGGCACTTGGCTGGCTTAGTCGAGAGACCATGTGACTCTTGATCTCGGGGCCATGAGTCTGAGCCCCACGTCGGGGTAGAGATTACTTCAGTAAATATTAAAGGAAGGAAGGAAGAAAGAAAAAGGAAGAAAAGAAAGAAGGAAAGAAAAAGTGCACACACACCATATATTGATTTTACTTGCAAGTGTTTTTCATAGGGAAATGTTGGGACATATGCAGAGAGAAGTATACAGGGATGTTCACTGCAAGGTTGTTTATAATAGGGAAAGTGGGAAACAATCAAGTTGTCAGTTGAGGAAGAACTAAACAAGGGTGGCATGTTCATGTTACAAAGTAACATACAACAGTAAAATCAGGTAGCTCCAAATGTATGGACATGGTAAGTTCTCTAAGACATTTCCTGTTACAGAACTGAATAAGTAAATTACAGGATAGCACATAGAGTATGCCTTCTGTATGTAAAAAGCACCGGTATGTGGGTAGACGTTTATAGATGTAGGTAGATGCATGGAGCTAGTTCTGAAGGGATACATACAACTCCAAGATTGAAAACAGTTATGGGGAGGAGGTGCCATGCTAGGACTTGATGTATGAATTGTTTTCAGTCAGAATGTATTCATGTACTACTTGCATAATGAACACTGAAAGATTGATACATACGTGAAAAGCAAAATTATCCCCCATGTTCAAATCAGATGAGTGAACCACCTGTTTTGTTTACTTCAGGGATTTTTGCCAAACCTGACCACGTTAAGATGACCTACCCGGAGACTCAGCTTCACCACTTGCTGCCCTTATTGGTGATTTGTGACAATCTCCGTGACCCTGGGAACCTGGGGACGATCCTGAGATCTGCTGCTGGCGCAGGCTGCAGCAAAGTATTACTCACCAAAGGTCAGAGCCCTTGTTCCTGGGTGGATTGGTCGGCCATTTGTAAGTGCGCTGGCTCTGTGGGCAGACATCCGTGGATTTGAATCTTGGGTCTGCCTCTGATAAGCCGTTTGGCTGGGAGCAGTATTCTGAGTGTCATTTTCCTCATCTGTAAAGTGGGCATAACAGAATCTCTCTGGTAGGTTTGTTCCGAGAATGGAGATGGTGCACATGAAGTACTTAGCACTCTGCTTGGCACACGTTAAGTGCTTTAGGAAATGTCAGTTCTCTTTTAAGATTAGTTTGACACCGGCTAGGTTACTAAAGAACTTAAAATCAGTCGGGGAAGGAAATAGATGCCAGTCTTAACACTAAAAGTCCTTTATTTAATGATCTTGAGTTCTCCAATTGTTGGGCATATGAAGCCTTCCTAACTCTAGACATTCTGAATCCTGTGAAAGGCGTGTGGTTATGAAATTGAGATGCATTGGCCTTAGCCTTAGCCTTGGGATGGGTCCGACACCCCCTCACATGTTGGCCTCTTGACATTTCTCTGTCCTGTCCTCAGAACTTGGGATGAGTAGGCTTGATTCTAAACAGACTTGCCTAACAGCTGGGACACACCTAGAATGCCTGTTACACCTTGCCGGGAGAGTGGGAGGGAGGGGGGTCATTCATCGAAAACACTCCAGCTCCCTCATTCACTGTAAGCTAATAACCACACCTGCTGAGACTTGCCTCAATGCTCCTTACACCCCTTCGTCCCGGTCACATGTTGTTGGAATAGATGGAGTAGATGTAGAGAGGCCGTTGTGAGAGCCAAGTGCTGGGGTGCCATCATCATAAATGGTGCCCCATTTATACACCCCATTGTTGAGATCTCTGAGAGCTGGTGTGGTTTTGGAGAGGTACCTATATGCTCCAAGTGGTGCGTTTGCCTCATTCATGGTGGTGGCTGGTGTATAGGATGAGGGGAAGGAGTAGGGAACACTTGGGGTGGTGCCCAGTATGGAGGACGTGAGGATGCGAGGGGACATCCTCTCGTGTCCCTTACTCCCCACCAGGGAGACGGCTCACACTGGATGGCTCCCCTCACGAGTCTCGGCCCCTCTTTTATCTTCCACCGTCGCCTGCAGCCTCTTGACATAACAGCCCAACTCTCCTTTCTAGTTCCCTGCAGTGACTGGGAAAGTCTGTGGTTGGCAGTAGGTGTGGGCAGTGTTACATTGTGTGTATTATTTTCCTTTGAAAATTTGGCTTGCCTGCTTACTCTGTTCTGAAGTTGGGTTACTTTTTACAGTAACTTATAATGCAGAGAGTTGTGTTAACAAGTTAGGGGGTGGTGGCAGACACGTGGTGCCCCGGCCCTGCTGTCTCTCCTGGCCCTGAGAGTGACCACGCGCAAGTGGCTGGGCTTCGTATGTGTCTAAACACAGAAAGTAGTTCTTTTAGCCTTTTAGCCTCTGTCTGGTGGCAGAAGGTACGTGCGTGCGTGTGTGTGAAAGAGAAAGCTGTCGCCTTGGCTCTCCATGGGTCCCTGTAATTGCCCCCCATCTAATTTCCCCTCTCTAGGATCTTCCTGCTCTGGTGCAGATTCAACATTGAAACCAAGTGGGTCTTTCTAAAGCATAAACGAGATTCTGTCACGACTTTACTTAAAATCCTTTGATAGCATTATATTGTCCAGTGGCTGAAATCCCCAACTCCTCAGTGTGGCATACCCACCCTCCTTTACATTGGTCCTTGCCTGCCTCCCATCTCGTCCCCCACCACATCCCCCGATCACCTTCCTTACAGTTTTGGACTATGGCGTTCTTCCCCCTTTTATCATTTTGTCCTCTGCCCCAGCCTTTCTTTGACAGCTTCCTCCTATCCTTCAAGTTCCAGCTCAGTGTCATGTTCTCTAGGATGTTTTCCCTCCTGGCTCTGCTTAGTACAAGGGTTTTCTGTGACCCCGTTCATACTTCTTTTACATCAGTTACTGATATTGTAGTCATGTGTTCAGATAGTGTCCGAACACCATCGCCCACGGTACCACAAGCGCCTTGATGTTGGGGACTTGAAAGCTGTTAGCATCTCCTGTACGATGTCTGGCCCAGGCGTGTGGTAAATGTTGAAGGGACGGAGAAAGTCTCACTTAGCGCCAGCCAGCAGTCATCTCATATTCCCTTTGCTGGACGCTGCCGTAACTGGGGACATGGAGGTCCCAGCTGTCAAGAAGGCTACAATAGGACATTTTTGCTTTCTCTCCTGATCCGGAATTAATCTGATTTGCTGCAGAGACCTCCTGTCTGGGAAGGTTTATAATCTTAAATGGATCCTATCTCTATTTTCTAGGCTGTGTGGATGCCTGGGAGCCCAAAGTGCTACGGGCAGCAATGGGTGCCCATTTCCAGGTGCCCATCATCAATAATCTGGACTGGGAGACAGTGCCCGACCACCTGCCCACCGACACCCGGGTCTACGTGGCTGACAACTGTGGCCTTTATGCCCAGGCCAACATGTCTAGTAAAGCCATTGATCACGGCTGGGTATGTGACCAACAACTCTCGAAGTTACACAAGTATGAGGAGGAGGATCTAGAAGCTGGGGCCAGTAAAGCCTGGCTCCCTGAAGTTGAGGTGCAGAGTTATGACTTGGACTGGACAGAGGCGCCAGCAGCTGTGGTGATAGGGGGGGAGACGCATGGCGTGAGCCTGGAGTCCCTGCAGTTGGCCGAGAGCACGGGGGGCAAGAGGCTGCTGATCCCTGTCGTGCCCGGTGTGGACAGCCTGAACTCGGCTATGGCTGCAAGCATCCTGCTTTTCGAAGGCAAAAGGCAGCTGCGGGTAAGGGCGGAACACGTGGGCAGGGTCCGGAGTCACCCCTGAGAGGGAGCGTGGAAGCCAGTCCTCGGTCGGAGGTGGTGCCCAACTCCCGCTGCAGTGTTAGGAGATAGGCAGGGTCGGTAACGGGTTTCCCAGGGCCTATTCAGGAGGTAAGATGTGGGCAAGATGCTGTTAGATGATTATTGGAAAAATAAGGATTTCCATGAATTTCTGCTTCTCCTCGAAAGTAACAAGGGTGAGAATTCTTCCTGAGATCTCCTCCAGCTCCCGAACCAAACTTCATCTCGAGAGAGCCCAGAGAGCATGCGTGACTCGTGCCCCACTTGTGGCAGAGTGGGGGTGCTTCGGTATGTTTGATGGGAGGGGTTTTTACAGGAACAATCTGGCTGGCTGTGCTCTCCCAGGCTGGTGCCCCGCTCTGGTCTGGGCCTGCCCATGGCCTCACACAGATGTTTGATGTGAGTGGCCCATGGATTGTTCATGAGACCCTTGGTGCCTCGTCAGCTTTTAGAAGGCAGAAGAGCCCACAGCCTTCCGACGGTGCTGAGCCCACAAAGCCTTGGTCCTCCAGCTTCACGGGGGCCACGGTGCCTGTCACACCAGCAGGCTCGATCCGGGAGACCGCTCAGTACCCCTGGAGTCTGCTGACATTTGTTCTCTCCACACCTTGGAAAAGTGCTAAGAAAACGAGGTCATGGGAAGGATGAAGCCAGTGTCCTGCAGCTTTGTCCCTGGGTTATTGTTCCTGCTGGGTGCCGTTACAAAATAAAGATCAGTGACCGAACGACAAACCCTATGCCTTGTTACTGTTAGGGAAAACAAAACACCGCACAACAGTATACCCAGCACATAATTCTAAGCCTACTTTATCATGGCGGGTGAAAGAAGGAAGAAAAATTTACGTCCCATTCACTTTACAGTCAATGGCTTATATACCAGGACTTGTGAGTCTTTTTTGCACATTTGTGGATATAATTTAGATGAGACGAGGGCAAATTGTCCTTTCTTTAAAAGGACCACCGGGGCCATAGTGAGGCTTTGGTTTGTTGAATGATAATGGAAAATCGCTTTCTTGAATTTTTTGCAATTTTAAGGCCAACATTTGGGTTTTCGCCATTTCCCCAGAAAATAGGAAATATAGAAGGAGCAGGTCTGACATGACAGCACACTACACTGGCTGAAAGAGAAGCACCCAGATGGCTGGCCGAACGGCCCCTTGCCTTGGTGTGGAGCGGAGGGCTAGCGGTGGTTTCTGCCACAAGGTGGCGCCCGTGGCCGTGCTTCAAAACCACTCCCAGGCCTGAAAGGAGGGGCTGGGGGTTTTCCTGGGTTTAAGGTGTTGAAAAAGGCTGGAGTCTCCACAGAGGGCATTCTACAGGACATTTGTGCTCAGGAGTGCTGAAGCCGGAGACCCGTCCAGATTCGCATCTCCTCAGCAGAATCTGAAGCACGATGGACACTGGACCAAAGACTTGGGGAAGTGGACACAAGTGGGACGTGGTTGCCGTGGGGAAAACTTCCTTCCGATGGGACCTCTGGGAAAGTGGCTCTGGACAAATGCTGATGTCCCTGTATGCCTGGAACTCACACTAGGAGGCTTCACCCTGGTTTGGAGCTTTGAAGCAGGGAGAGCTGCAGCGTCCTCTTCCCTTCTGCCAGCTCGTGAAAATCCGGTCACTAAGGCCCAGAGGGTGAGCAGACCTCGGGGGACTGCTTTCTACCAGTTTCACCTCTGACCTCCTACCACTTGCCTCGTGGATCTTGAAACACCAGATGTCCCCTTCCAAGCCGAGCTGCTTTTATTTATTTAATGTTTTTATTTTTGAGAGAGAGAGAGTGTGACCGGGGGAGGGGCAGAGAGAGAGGGAGACACAGACTCTGAAGCAGGCTCCAGGCTCTGAGCTGTCAGCACAGAGCCCGATGTGGGGCTCGAACCCACGATCTGTGAGACCATGACCTGAGTTGAAGTTGGAGGCTTAAACGACTGAGCCACCCGGGTGCCCCAAGTGAGCTGCTTTTCACTACACTTTTGCCATTTTGCCACACCAAGGCCCCAGAAACAGCACCAAACCAAGGGTCCTGGGGCGAGGGCTGAACACCACCAGCTGTGCCTCAGGGCCTGGTGTCCCCTGGGCCATGCTCCCCCTCCTCCCACCTGGCCACTCAAAAAAAAATTCTTTTTTAGGAAGCACTCACTTAGATACCTTTAAACTCCAATGACTTTCTCTCTTCATCAGTGAATGGACAACAAGCCAGAAGCCAAATGAATGGATGAGCTATTTATTGCTGTGGGCAGCTTAGTCTGAACTAGCTGGCTGTGTCAGTGCAGCCCAGATAGCCCGCAAGCCGGGCCCTTGCTCGGTGGCTCTGGAAGCCGTGGCCAACGCTCAGAGCCCACGTGTGACTGAAGGTCTGAATACGCTGCAAATGGCATCGGTTCTCTTAACTGCATCTGTTTTGTAGGGGAGCCACCTTCTTCAGCCGAAGCCTCCCAGTCTGAGGGCCATCCCCAAAGCTGCTGCTGCTTCACAATGCAAGAAGGGAACAAAGGTGGGGGACGAGACATGGCTGCGACAGGGTCTGGCCTCCCAGCCTCCCTCTTACCTCTGTGATGGGAAGGGTTGGTGCAGACTGACTGCAGTGGCAAGGAGACTTCCTTCCACATCCCGTGATGTCTGAAGGAGAGTTCGTTAGCCCTGGGTCCTAAGATCATGCCTTCTCCTGTATCCTAGGCCAGCCCCTCTGGGTGACTGACCTGTGTGAAGCATGAGCACCTACACTTGAGGCTGCCTGCATCCTTTGGGCTGCACAGTAGCCTACGGGCTTGGGGACAGACTCTTGAGTTAGCACGTTATTTAATAGAAACCCAGCAGTCCTTCAGAACCAAGTCCTGCCCAAACCCAGTAACACATCTCCTGGCTTGGGAAGTATTCCCAAAGGCCCAGGGGCCGCGGAGCCAGAGCATGCCTTAAAGGAAGCGGCTTTTCTTCGTGCTTTCCCCTTTGAGGCCTGCCTAGGACATCCTGACGTCCCATTCCACCCATCGGAAGGAGAAATCCCAGCCATAAAGTGGACCCAGTGTAACAGTTTCCTACAAACAGCCTTGGTTCCTGGAAACCACGTCACTTTCACTATTTACTAACACTGAATAATCAGGAAAGAAGCTAGTAGACCACAGCCTTTTGTCAACAGAGGACTTTCCCTCGGGCAGCCTGCTTGGAAGAAGGCCGTGGGGTCTCTTGCCCCCGTTGGTGTCCACAGAGAGGGCTGTAGGTTCAACACCGCCGCTTCGGGGAACTTGACAGACCTGAGCTCCGGGTTTCTGGGTCGGTCCTGTTCGCACGGCGTCACCCAGAGAGGCCAGAGGGCACTGCTGAAGCTCCCCTGCGGCCACACGGCCATGTCCCTGTCCCATCGGGCAAGCTGGGGCCTGCTCCGCCTGGCCCAGGGAAGTGACTTACGGACAGGATGTGCCCACGCCTGGGCCCGTGTGACTGGAGGGGGCTGGGCCAGCCGCCTGCTCACGTCCCTCCCGGAGCTACGATTCCTAGTCTACGTGCGCGTGCACACATGTGTATTCTCCCCAGGCGGACACCTCCCCCCCCCCCCTTAGGTCCCGCTGATCTATTCTTGGACCATGTTCTACGTCTAGATCATCGCAGAACTCCGTTTGCCACCCTGGAACAAGGCAGCAGGCGGAGAGAACAGCCTTTTAGTGTCTTTAATTAGGCAAGAGGCAAAAACAAAGTCTGGCTGAAAATTACCATTTGAAGTTTGGCTGATGCCAAAACAGTTCTGGCTCCCTGTGCTTGGATAAGTGAGAGCCATTGAATTTGAGGATGTACTTGGAGATGGGGCGGGGTGGGGCGGTGGGGGAGGAGGGAAAGCTTCTGGAAAGGAACTTCAGTTGCCCTCTGGCATTTACCGCTGCCCACCGTCCATACCAATTCCAAACACACACCCTTTTCTTAACTGGATCTTCACTTCTGGGGCCAGGTACAAAATCTCATCTGTTGTGAACATGGGTAGAGTCGGATCTGGAAGTCATTGTGGTGAGCACAGAACCTGGAAGCCTAGGGTGGCGTTTTTACAGCCACCTTCCTGCCTCAACCTGCTGGGGCCTGGTTTCCCTCGCTGCTGATGGAAGCCGGTGACGATATCACAGCTGGGGTTTTAACCTGCTTCCAATTAGTGACAAGAATTAAGGTAATTTGGAGCTACTTAGTGGGAATTAAGAAGCCACCCACTTTGCATCAAGAACCTTTAAGATTGCACAGCGTTGAGATGGGGTTTTTTTAAACGTTTTATTTATTTCTGAGATAGAGAGAGAGAGAGACACTGTGAGCAGGGGAGGGTCAGAGAGAGAGGGAGGCACAGAATCTGAAACAGGCTCCAGGCTTGAGCCAGCTGTCAGCACAGAGCCCGACGTGGGGCTCGAACCCAAGAACCGTGAGATCATGACCTGAGCCGAAGTTGGATGCTTAACCGACTGAGCCACCCAGGTGCCCCTGAGATGGGTTTTTACTGGCGCTGTGAAGTGGTCCTCCCCCAGCATTTCTCCTCAAAGCTGCCACTGTGTAAACCTGAAGCCAGCAGTAACCCTTCCCAGTGACCTTAACCTGCACAGCCACTGTTAAAGGGGGATTCTGGTGCCAAGGATCAGCTGATCTTAGTGGCAAGTAGTTCTGTCAGCCTTCTACAGGCCACAGAAGAATCCCAGATAACCGAAGTTTCTGCTGTGGTGACTTACAGGGACCCCTCCCTGGACTCTGTTCCTTCTGTGCCAGAAGAGTAGTTGCCGTGAGGCCACTTTTCCTCCCAGGCTGTCATGATCTAGGACACAGGCAGAAATCCATCTTCCAAGTGAGGTCGACCCCACCTTGTCCCCACGCCACCACACTCCCGGGGGAGACACTGGCAACGTTCGCAGAGAAGCCCCTCGGCCAGGAAAGAGCTAGGGTGGAGGGTCTCCAACTGTTGCCCGTTCTTCACCGGGAGAGCCGTGTGGGAGTCCTTGTTTCCGCAGCCGGCGTCCTCAGGCTTCAGGGCACTTGCTCCCCTGTGTGTGCAGGGGCCCGGGGTGGGGGGGGATGAGCACCCGTGTCCCCGAGAGTGCCTGTGATTGGAGAATCCGCCCTCTACAAAGGCAGGTGGAACCAGGAGAGATGCCAGCCAGAGCTGCAGCAGAGATCTGCCTCGGGGGCACCGACCCGAAAGAGCTCCCTGGCCTCAGGGTCCCACAGATGACCACGTTACTTAGTTTCGGCTCTCGAAAATTCTCATACGTAGCTACTGCGTCCAGATGAAAGTCAAGAGGATCTTGTAGGTCTCCCTCCATCCCCCCACCCCCTGGGGCCCAGCACCACAAGTGAAAAGGTTTCTGTTATTAACCACAGGAAAGGCCAAGTCATTGATCATGTCCAGAGATGCCTGCTTTATTTCTTACTAGGTGACTGCATTTCAGGCTGTGACATCAAGTCACGGTCTAATTACAGCTAAGTTTGTACCTCTGAACTACAAATCAACAGTCCAATTCAGCAAGGGGCAACGGTGTCAGCAGCTGATGGGGGGGGCTGCGTTTTCTAAATCAGTGGTCTTGGCTGACAGTGCTGTGAGCGGAGCCAGGGGTAAGGCCTGCGATCACGTGAAAGACCCTAAGGCCTGGCTGAGATCGGCCCAAATCGTGTGAATCCCGAGGTGAAGCCCTCCATCCCAAGTCCCAAGGACACAGCAGGTGTTATTTTCGGTTTGTGGGATCCGAGCAACCTGACCCGAGCAAAGTGGATCCAAAGCCTACTCGTAGTTGACGTGTCTGACCTCTGCTCACACTGCCATCCTAGGGCACAGCTCTTCCTGCAGGTTCTGAGGGAAAAAGCTAGGCTCCCGGTAATTTCTTGTCTCTTTTTAGTTCTGCTTTGAAAAGAAAAGAGGGATGACGGGGGTAACCAAAGGTGGATGCAGGCACCGCGGGGGAGCTCCGGTGGCCCCGGGCCCAGAGCTGGGCCGAGTCAGAGGTCTGTGCTGGTGAGGTGGGGCTCCCCCAAGAACACAGGTCTGGGCGCCTCCTCTCGGGAAGGTGTCCAAGGGGAAGAATTTATTAACAAAACTCCAAGACAGTAGAGGCCATTCGTATGAGAAGGCAGAAACATGGAGAAGGCAAGATCAAGGAAGAAAGATGTCAGGAAAAAATGAGAGGTTCTTTCTTATCACGTTGTAGGAGCTCAGAGTAAGCAGTTACTACACAAATCATTACCACAGCTACTCTTTTTCTCACCAGAAAAGAACACAAGCTCCCTTTGAGATCGTGAAATCCCCGGCCCAAGAACCGACGGCCAAGCTGGTGTTCTTCCCTCACAGCGAGAGGGAGAGTCACTAGACGAAGTCACTTAGGAAGGGACGTTCTCACTGGCAGCTCTAACCCGAGGCTAGCAAGTCCGCGGCCCTTTCCCTGCTGCACCCGCATGGACGTGTGTCACTGGGCAGTCCCGGGCCCTGCGTGTGCATGCTGACACCAGAGGCCGAGCCGGAGCACCAATGCACTGGCCCTTCACGCTCGCTCGGCAGAAGGACGCCCGGCAAACACCGCACCAAGAGCTAGGGACTGAGTGTGACGCAGCCCTGGCTCCGGCCGGGTGAGGCCAGCGCCGCCCGTCCCGGGCAGAGTCTCCAAACACGGTGGGGTCTTCCGCTGCTGAGAGGGTGTGCACCTTAGGGTGCTAGCTGAGGAGTTAATGCAGAAAACAAGGCACCACAGAGAGGTTGGACACTTGGGTTGTGTGAGTCAGGACACGCTGGAAAGGTCCAAGGGTGGAGGGAAGGAAGGGAAGGAGGAAGAGAAGACCGAGTTTTAAATAACGTCTCCTGAGGCCGGAGCCCCACTAGATGGGCTCTGGTTTGAGCTTTTCTGCTAGGAAGTCATTCACAAAGGCCTCCACAATGGCGGGGGTGATCTCTTCCACGTCCATCACGTACTTGGCCCGGGCTGACATGTCCAGAATGGTGAGCAAAGGGGCCGCCTCGGGCAGGTTGGTGTAATCTCGCAGGGAGTCAGTCATGTCATCCTGCAAGTCACCAGAGGGAGAGAACACCAGTAAGTTTTCAAGAAAGAGGCCAGAGAGTCCCCAGGCCCAGATGTCCCAGATGGCACGGAACGCAGCCACTCCACCGTCCTGAAGAGCGGGCCGCCGTCCGGGAGGGACGGGCTCTCAGAACAGGGAGCAGGGAGGGGGAGGGGGGCTTGTGAAGTTCTCTCTGCATCTCCCCAAACCACCAGGCGACTCCTCTTTCCTCTTTCTTCAGTAGCGCAAAAGCAATCTTAACCTGCCCTCTGCTTTGTAAAACTGTGATGTCTTCTGATCACTTAGTTTTTCAATCGCCTCTCAACTATTTGCAGGCCCATTATGGAGGCCTGAGGCCAATCTGGATGTCAACTCTGGAATGTTTTTAACAGAAGCAGCTCACTGTCCCCATCCCACCCCTGCGGTTTCGGGGGTGAAACTGCACGGCCACTGCAGAAGACAGGGCCACTGCAGTACTTCCCGAAGCGTACATGGGTGGCCACACTTATCATATATTCCCAGAGACCGTCAGTGAATTCCCATATTAAGTAGAACGGCAAACCCAGAAACCCAGAGACAGGAGACACACCTGTAAGGGAGGAACCATCTGAGCTTACATTTCATGCAACCGACCCCCATTTGGTAGGTAACAGGAAATGGACTCTGCACAGCCACCCCGACCCAAGTCACCCTGCAGAGGAAAGGCCTAGGGCATTCCTGGCCTTAAACGCTGGCAAACAGGAGGTATGAGATTTACTGCTCATTAATTTCTGAGACCAAAACAAAAAAACAAAAACATATTCCCTTCTCAGAGGACAGATCATTAGGAAAATGAGTAGGGATCGTCTTTTCCCCACCCCAGAAATGGCCGGCGCTTCCAGCAATGGTGATGGGGGACTCGGCATCTCTGCACCGCTCACCCCGCTCAGGGCCCCCGTGTGGGTTAACAAACAGCCTTCATGACAGAGGGCAGACACCTGCACAAACACTGTTCATCGAATTCCCATTAGGAGGCCTGGGCCGGCTGAGCACAGCGCTGCGTCCCCTTCCCTCCCCTCCCCTCCGCGCAGACCACAGGGAGATGAATTTCATGTCTACTAAGGCTTCAGAAGGGGGACTTTCACCTGGCAGAGGGAGGGGATCAAGGTAAACACCCGTAGTCCTGGGAGGAGCCGGAGAGGGCCCGAGTCCTGGCTCCAAGGTGCTCGGCCAGTGCCTGATGTCCCCGCACCCCACGACCACCCCCTTCACAGAGCCCTGCTTCTGAGCATGAGGACAGAGAACTGGGCTAAGGGAGCTTCCAAGGTCAGGAGCCCAGGCGAAAGGCACCGGAAGGACGGGCGGCCGGGTGGCGAGCCGGAGCAGTGGATGACCCTGTCCGGCCCTCCTCTGTCCTGGTGCCAGCACTGCCTCTGGGGTCACACTGACCTCATGTTCAGTCCTCTGCGCAACCTACTTAACATGCAACTTTCAGAAGTCATTTTTGTGAGCCCAGGTCTTGTCCCCTGTAAAATGGGTTTAAGAGCGGCGCGCACCGGGACCAGAGGCGAGGGGTCCTGGGCTCTCGAGGCCTCACTCATCTGTGAAAGGGTAACGACTCCATTCCCAGTCAGAGAGGTGAGGACGAGCGGATGGACCCGGCCAGTGGAGCTTGGCTTGGTGCCTGCTACGCAGAAAACCCGCAAGTGCGCCTTTGCAGCCACACTTCTAAAGCAGTTACCCGAGCGCCCCAGCCGCAGCCCTGCACCTGCCGTCCCGCACCCCTCTTTTCTCTCTCAGCCATCTGAAAGGGGGTAGGGTTTAACGCATTCCGAGCAGCTTCCACTTGTGCTCTGTGTAGAGCGGGCTTGTGTAGCCCCAAGGCAGGACCCTGTGAACCTGCTTTGTTCCCTCCACCCCACGGCAGAGCGGGGTGACCTCAGCTGCCCGTGAGGGGCCCGGCGGGGCTCAGCAGGGGTGCCGAGGAGGTGATGAATGGGTGGTGGCTCAGGGTGTCTGGCCGCGCGGCCCCTCCTGGGATCCAGGCGACACGGCATGAAATGTGTTCTGGGCTCTGACCAACTGGGGATGCAGATGGTGGCAGGAGGACAGGGGGCTTGAAAAGTGTGTCTGTCAATAGCTTCCGGGGATGGGGCGGGGAGGTGGCGGAGCATGCGTGGACCGGCTTCTGGGGGACGGGGACTGAGGGGAGGGGGGTGCCGACCGCTGCCATCTTGCCAGGATTCCCACCACTTCAGGGTGGAGGCTCCTGCAAGGGGTGGGGGCACCCAGCGGAGGGCCCGGCCTTCTCACCCTGTGCAGAGTCATCTGCTCGGTCCGTCCTAGCTGGAGGCCTTCAAGGGACAGGCCTCGGGCGAAAAGAGACTGGGACGGCAGCAGTGTCCCCCTGAGCATCCTCCCTGGGCTGCTTGGGGAACCGCAGGGACTTAGTACTGATCACAATCGTTGTGGCTGCCACTCTTGCTCGCGGCCTGGGTAGCAGCCTGCAGGAGGCAGCGCTATCCCCGCAGGGCGTCCAGCTGCTCTGAGGCTGCTGAGCGACAAAGCAGGGAGGAAGGTGCAGCAGGGACCGTGCTGGATGACACAGCTTTTCATGCCACTTTGTCTCTGACACACCTTTTCATGCCTGGGCTCTCCGGCCGGGATCCCGGGGCCCCTTCAAACATCCCCTAGGGCCGCGCATCACTCCTGTTCTAAGAGTTGGCCGCCGAGCAGCCAGCCCAGCCAGCCGGCCAGGCCCCAGTGCACTCACCTCCCCCGCCACAAAGAACAGAAGTGGCGCCTCCTCCTCTTTGGCTTTGTACTTGGCAATGATCTTCTCGGCTATTGGCTGGATCAGCTGCTTGGCTGCCTCGGACTCCCCATCATCCTCAGAATCTGTAATGGGCAGAGAGAGGCACGAGAAGCACTGGTTTGTGGAACAGATGAGGTGGGGTCCCCAGAGGGAGCTGGGTCCTGGGCCTGAAATGCCCATGCGGGCAGCCCCTGAACGACACAAAACTTCCCCTGGGACACAGGTGGCGCCTCCTGGGGGCACAAGGGTGTGTCCGCGGCACATTCGCACCACTGCACATGGAGCTTCCCCTGAGCCAGGAGCTGAGGTCCTTGTAATATTTCTCTCAGTCACAGAATCACAGAATGACCTCAGACCGGACCTCCTGTCGGAAATGGCAGGACTGGTGGTGGCGGCGGGTCTGGGCTGCAATGCAGTCAGCAGCTTTGGTGGCAGTGGTTGCCCCTGGGCCCCTGGAACAGCAGCTTCACATCCGGCCAGGCTCTCCCAGGAGGGGATGGACTGCCTGTCTGGGAGGGGACACGCCCAGGGGCCCCGAGCCCCTTTTGGTCACCTATTGCTTTCAGGGAAAGAGCAGCATGGGAGCTGCCACACACGGGGCCCCGGGGCTCACTCGTGCTGGACCCTGAAGCCCAGAGCAAGAGCAACGCCCCAAGGGACAAAGCAGGAAGGAGAGACGGGTAGCAGGATTTGTACCCAGATAGGCCACACTGCCCAAGGGGCCCGCAGTGTGCAGACTGGGCAGGACATAGTCCAGATCCACATCTCATCAGCTCTGCGATGCTGGGAACTCCCTTTGCCTCTCTGGAACCTTCTCGTATCTTCTCAGATTGCCAGTGAGATGCAACTGTCCCTGAGTTCAGAACTGTGTCCCAGAGGCCCCGGGATGTGGGCGTGGGAGCCGGCAGTAGGCAGCAAGGCAAAGCCCCAAGGACAGTGATTACCCAAGGGCATCTTTCCCCAGGAGGCCTCTGTTGTCCAAGCACAGGGGCCAGCCTGCAAGTCCCTTAGTTTAAGAATCCCCTTGAGTCTGCAGATTGGCTCTCATCTGCAGATTGGCACATCCCCCAACGCCTCCCTCCCAACCCCATCAGTGAGGTGGGGATGGCGGCCTCTCAGCCATGATCCCCATATCCCAGATTATTTGGAGTTGGGGCTGAGCAACACAGCCCGAGGCAGAGGGTGAGGGGGCAGTTGGCCAGCAGTTACTCCGTTTGCAAAAGGAACCAGGGTCGTCCCACAGGGCCTCAGGGAGCCTGGGGTGGATGTTCCCTGTCCCCCTGCCCCGCAGAGCAGCCACCCACTGAGCAGAGAGTGGGGACACTGAGGGGGGCACTACCCACAGAGACGCCGCCCTGAGGCTGGGTGGGGGGCCCAGCCCCTGCAGCTGCCGGGCACTCAGCCCCGCCTCCTCCCAACAACGGGTCTGTTCGTCTGTTCCGTTCGAGGGGCCGGGCTCCGGCCTGACCTATTCTTCCCAGCTGGCAGCCAAGGAAGGAAAGCACAGCGGAGGCTCTCAGAACCCCGCCCGCAGGGGCAGAGCCATGAATAAATCATTGGGGTCAAAAGCAAGGCCGCAGGGAGAGACAGGGGAGAGACAAAGGCCCGGGCTCCGCATTGTTCAGAAGGAGAGAAGCCGTGGGAGGACACCCCCCTCCTGAGGTCTGTCTTGTCCAGCCCGCCCCGGGGCTGCCGCTGGGGCTTCCTACCTACAAAAAGGACGAGGCAGGGGCCCTCGTTGAGCTGCGCGGCGTTGGAGTCGGAGAGCTCCAGCACGGGCTTGGGGTGCCACGGAAACTCTCTGCAATCCTCGTCGTTCAGCACCTCCACGCGCCCCTGCCGCGTGATCACCTCCCCCTGCGGGTCCAACACGATTAGGGTGGGGATGCCTGCGAGGGGGAGAGAGAGCTTGAGAGTCCAGAAGCGCCGGGCCAGAATCCATGCCCAGCCACCGACCAGCCGCGGGACTCCCTCGGGTCTGCCCGCAACTTGTCCGAGGAACCCGGCCGTCACTTCACCCCCCAGGCCTCAGTGTCCTCCGCGGCGACGCGGCAAACAGACCACAGGCCCTCCCTCCCCATCTTTGTGCAGATCAGCAAGGTTGTGCACTTGAACTCAGCACAGGGTCTTGGCACTTAGAAGCACTCAGTGCATCCTAAAGAGATGCCCGAGAAGCAGGAGACGCCCCCTGTCCCCCTGCAGGGAATCTAAGACCTAACGTAAATGGGGTGAAAACACACCCCACACAGGCCAGCAGGAACAACCCCAGACAATGGGAGTCTGCACACAGGCTGGCGGCCCCACCGCGCCACCGCCACCGGTGTGAGCACAGGGGCGGGAGGAGGGGAGGAGCCTGGGCAGGCCAGTGGGCTGCTAGTGGGGGAGGGGGCAAGGCCCACCCCCATCTCCAGCCCTCCTGCCTGGGGAGGTTCTAAGGGGACAGTCCCTACGGGGAGCCTGCTGATGGCAGCAATGTCACCCTCACTTTAAAGTCCTGGGCCAGAGTAAGAAATGGCAACGCGGAACTCCCCGCAAAACCGCATCCCCCGCCAACCATAAAGCCTCAAACACCAGAGAAGACCCCGTCCTGGGGTCCAGTGGCTTTTGGGACTTCCACCTCCCGGCCCTGCGCACCCCATTCCCTGCTGCCTCTCCTCCAGCCAGGGTGCCCCTACCAACTGCAGCCCATAGCCCTTTCGGAGGCACTCGTCTCTCCGCTGGCAGCCGCTCCCCTCGCTGCCTACTACCCAGCCGCCTCGCCTCCGGAGCTGACCAGAGCTGTTCAATTTTCTACGGGCCAGCGAAAGCCATAGCAATTTAATATTTATGGATTCCAAAGCATTCAGGGAGTAATTTGCTCCACTGACATTTTACTTCTCTGTGGGGGTGGGAGGGGGACATCGAGGGACCAGGAATGTGGTCCTAGTGTCTTGTAACCCGGCGCGGCTGCTGGCGCAGCAGGCGTGCAGTGTGGGCCTGTCTTCAAAAGGACTTAAGCGAGTCCATTATGTTTACACCTATTAGAAGTAGCGTGACGTGCCGGAGAACAAGTCCAGAGAGAAACGGGCTCCGGGCAACTGCCGTTACCCCACGTCGCACACAGATGCATGTGCCACCAGGGCTCCTGGGTGTATTCGGGACACTGTCAGAGCTGTCCGGGCCTCCTGGGCTGGGAGTCCCGCAGGGCACCAGGGACTGGGGGCGCTTCCAGCCTCATCCTCACACCTGCATGTTAGCCCCCAGGGCCCTGGCTTCCCCATCCCGGGGGATGGGGCCGGGCCTACGTCCGCAGCCTGAAGGGGCGGGGGGGGGGGGGAAGGGGGCCACGATGGGGTTCCGCGCCTCCCATCGCCACGCCCCATCCTAAATACGCTTCAGCAAAGTTCTTTAATCAGAGTGGTGGGGTTCTGCCACTGGGCAATTACCAGTGTTGGGTTAAACCAGCCTGCCCGCTGCTATGATTATAGACACAGCAGCTGGGCTGTTTGTAGCCCAGAAGCAGGATGCTGAGTTGGTCTATGGAAGACGAGCAGCCACAGAGGACGGAGAAGGGAAGAAAGGTACAATCTGAAGGCAAAGAACCCCACTTCCTGGTTTGGTGCCTCAGTTTCTCCAAGGGTCTACTCTAAGGGGCCTCCTCTATTACCACGGCTGTAGCCTCTCTGAAGTCCTCGTTGGCAGAGACCGGAAGGGCAAGGACATGGAGCCCCCTGCTGGCTGCTGAGGGGTCCTCGGCCCATTCCACCAGGGAACAGCACCCCTGCGTCTTGGCTCTCCCCGCCACCTCCCTGCAGCTACACAAAAGCCAAGTCCTGACTGCTTTGACACCGAAGCCCACGTCTAAGAGCCCAAAGTACCCAGGGGCGTGACTGTGGTACATCAGCAGAAAGCAGCTCGGTAAAGCACCCACAGTCAGACCGCAAACCCGGAGAAGCCCCTTTCTGGCATGTGCACTGGGCCAGGCCCCTCTGCTGTCACCCAGTCTTGGGACAGCCTGGCCCCAGAGCCTGAAGTATGTGTGCTTTCCTCCAGGGATGAACCGCAGGAAGAATGGGAGGGCTCTCAGCACATCTGCTCAGCGCTAGCATGGCCCACGCCACTCCACTTCCTCCCTGTAACTGATGGCTGTGGGAGGGACGATGAATCCTTTTTCACGGAGGGCCAAGTTACCTACCTAAGGTCATCCGGCCGCAAGTGGCCAAGGTGGGACAGGACCCCCGGTCTGCCTGTTGTAAAAGCTGCTGCTTTTTCTGCCCGGCCACTGCCGGCGGGGGCTCTCGCGGGCAGGCGAGGGAAGGCCCCCCACATCCACAGCTTTCTGGACCAGCAGCCACCCTCCTCTTCATCCTCAAGGCCAAGGCGGAGGAGGCTGAGACTGTCATCACCTCTTCCCTCTCCTGCCCACAGCACGCATTCCCAGCTCCCTTCCCTTGAAGCAGGTTCCCAGAAGCGGAGACTCAGAAGGAGAAACTAGGGCAAAGCCCCTAATGGGAAACTGCAAGGGAATGGAACATTTTTAATTGATGCCTTTGTACGAAATAACTGCAGCAGCACCAGCGAGGGGCTTCTCTGAAGGGAACGCAAAGGGAGTGTGTCCTCTCTGCCCGAGCTTCTGGTTTCCCAGCTGGGATGGCTGGGGCCACCGGGGGAGAGTCCTGCAAGAATTCCAAGGCAGACCCAGGCCACCCACTTCACTTCCTGGGGCCTCATTTCCACATCTGCCACAGTGGGTAGAAATGGTCTCCTATCTCAACGGAGGTCGGGAGGAATCAACAAGATGCCAGGTATAAAATGCTGAAAGCATTTTACAATGAGTACTCTGTAAGTATTAGCTCCTCTTATAAATGAGTTCATTATTTTTTTAAATAATTTTTAAATTTACTTTTTTTATTTTGAGAGAGAGATAGAGAGCAAGTGGGGAAGGGACAGACAGAGAAAGAGAGAGAGAATCTCAAGCAGGCTCCACACTGCCAGCACAGAGCCCTATGTGGGGCTCCAACTCAGGGACCATGAGATCATGACCCGAGACCAGGTCAAGAGTCGGGCGCTTAACCGACTGAGCCACCCAGGTGGCCCTCGTTATTATTACTTTTGGTCATCCTAGGTTGCTTATGTGGCTCATGAGAAGGCAGAGGTACAGAAAAGACTGGTGCCTTGCTCTAGTGAGATACACAGAAGCCTCCGTGCTGTCTGGAGGAGGCTAACTAAAGACACAGAAAAAAGGTCCACACTGCAGAGAGCATTCCAGGAACCTGTGATGTCTATAATGCGTGGGGTTGGTGTTAACCTCTGGGCAAAGAACATATACCTGTGCTCCTAGAGAGAGCTTCTGCCTAAAGCCCCCTGCCCTGGGGAGCTGGGCTGGACCCCAAGCAGTGCCCAGGAACCCCCTGCACCATCTCCCTCAAAACCTACAGAATAAAGACCAAGGCCCGAAAGCCTGCTCCAAACTGTTTCCTCCTGGGAGGAGCCTATCTGTATTTAAAACAATCTCAGAGGGGCGCCTGGGTGGCTCAGTCTGTGGGCAACCGACTTTGGCTTAGGTCAAGATCTCATGGTTCTTGGGTTCGAAGAACCCACGTTGGGCTCTGTTCTGACGTCTAGCTCAGAGCCTGGAGTCTGTTTCAGATTCTGTGTCTCCCTCTCTCTCTAACCCTCCCCTGCTCACACTGTTTCTCTCTCTCTCTCTCAGAAATAAAACATTAAAAATAATAAATAAATAAAACCATCTCAGAGCCATGTGTACTGAGCCCGTCTCCCGTTTAGTTTGGCTGCTTTTCTGCCGAGCAAAGAGGGGGTTCTTGAAGGGGGTGGCAGTGCGGGGGCCCGGGGCAGTGGGAGAGGAGCCAGGCAGGGCTGTAACCCCGAGAGCTTTCTTCCTCTGCTTCTAGATGGCAACATGACCTGAGGGGGCTGGCAGTCATCACGCAAAGGCTGCTGGGAGTCGGAAGAGAAACAGAAGGAAAAGCAGAGCCTCAGGCAGGAGGAGCGGGTGAGGGCGCAGGGCAGGGCGAAATGGGTGACCACGACAGCGGTCATCACGGGACAACAGCAGGATGGAAACCGTAACGCGTCATTAAATAGAACGTACAGAAGACCCAGTCCCTTGTGTACGGTTACCGCTACATACAAGTATGTCCGCGTGTGGACAGGGACCAGAGGGACTCGGAGAGCAGTAAAGCAGGAATGTGGGTGAGAGCAACAGAGATCTGAGTTTTCTTAGATGGTGTTATGATAAATGTGTATTAGCTTAAAAGATGAGCCCAAGAAAAACCAGAGGGCAGTCGGGCAGGGACTTGGCCACATCAACTCCGGTTCCCCTCAACATCTCCCTCTGCGCTCCCTGCTGGCTCCCTCAAACCTGCCTGTGCCTGGAGAGCTGCAGAACAGAGAAAGCAGCTGGTCTCGGTGGTAAAAGTCAGAATCCCGGGGCGCTGGGCAGCTCAGTCGGTTAGGCCGCCAACTCTTGGTTTAGGCTCAGGTCATGACCTCAAGGTTCGTGGGTTCGAGCCCCATGTCTGGCTCTGCGCTGATAGTGTGGAGCCTGCTTGGGATTCTCTCTCTCTGCCTTCTCTTCATTCTCTCTCTCTCTCAAAAATAAATAAACATTAAATTAAAAGCAAACTCAGAGAATCCCAAGGGAGGGTGCGGGGACAGGTCTAGCCTACTTGCACTTGGCCAGCAAGTCCGAATGCCACTCGGGCACGTGCCTGCGTCAGAGGCACAGAGACGTTATGGCAGCATCCCTGTAACACACAGAAACTGGACACACGCAGGCGTCCATCAGACAGGGTCACAGCTACCTAAACTGTGATCTAGTCATACAGTGAACCCCTTTCCAGCACTGCAGAGAAGTGAACCAGATACAAATATAAACAAGGAAAATCTT